GACGAAGGACCTCCTGGTAGTACTCCTTTGCGATGGTTTGGCCTTGTGATGCGTACTCACGACACACCACCCCACGAGAGTCGAAAAAACTGTCAACATGATCTTTGATATTGCTGCGGACCTGCCGCGCTTTTTTTGGCCTCGAGGATCGTCCCCGAAAGCCTGCTGAATCTTGCGAATGGTTTACGCTTGGGCATCGCCAAGATTTTTGGCAAAATTTGATGTAATATCGCTGCTCACGTTGTTCAGTCATTTTTCAGCTTAGTGGAATCCGACGAGAGCGCACTACATGACCTCACTCATAGGCCGATTGCCAGCGACTGACGCTTCCTGCAGGCGGGAAAAAATTCACAGCTGTGCATGACTGTCCCCTCCACAACTCCACCGAAGGAGGCCTCTCGCGCATCATTGGTTTACGCGGTAAAAAGAAAGGTCCGATACTTTTTGAACAGACCTTGTATAGTAATTCTGTAAATTATGTTTCGAATCTATAAGTATTTCTCTATTCCTTGTAAAATACTGACTTGAATTTGAATTACAGTGTATTTGGAATCTAAAAATGCTTATTTTACAGTACTTAAAATGCTAATTTATACATATATTTGAAAATCCAAATGAGGTCCAGCCCCAATTAGTCTGGATTTTCAATGTTTTACTGTATTTGTATTATCAAATAATTCAAGTCAATATCTATGTAAATATTAAGTGATGATAATATGTTTTTTTAAGAAAGAGATTTTGAAACTGAAGTTAACACTTTCTTGTTTCAGTTAAGACCAAATGAATTTTTGAATATAGATGCTATTACTGAAGGTGCACTACATAAACTTGTGATAAAGCCTCTTAAAAGTTTTATTTATCAACTCTTTGTTAATGAATATACTAGGTAACTTTCCAATTCAATTTTTGTTATCCACAAGTAGAATTTAGTTTAAATGAAANGAAATTTTTGTCATTTTATTTGAAATATATATTAATTTTCTTTGATGAAAATGTAGGAAAACGTAGTATCTATCATTACAGCAACAAACATGTAAACTTTGTTTAATAATACCTTAATTTTTGGTAGTTGATGGCAAAAAAGTGGACATATACGAACCTTAATGCTTAGAAGGGAAATCCCTCCAAAAAAATAACGGGTAGCACTTCATCGGATGATTCTTCGAGTCAAAGTCGAAACCCACCAGTGGCTAAGTGGTCTTCGTACCTTGAACACGGGGAGTTCGTTCGTGGGTTCGCACCTCGCTCAGATGGGCTGGCCATGAGTTTTCCGGGATTTCTCCACGTCTGTAACGCCTAAATAGGGCCAGTTTCCCTTAAAAACACCTCCCAGAAGGCATTCCCTCTAGTCAGATCGCCCAAGTGTTGCGTTGCCATAATTTAACAAAGAAACAAACTCTTTCCGTAAGGAACAAGAAATTGATCTAAAGTTGATTGTCTTACTCTTTTAATCAAAATTTTTCTCAAATGCGATAGCGNTTTTACAAATTTAAAAGTGCATAATATAATTTTAAAATAAAGAATATTTATTTATAATATATTTGTGAATATAATTGCTTTATTAGAGATATGATTGCTTAATTATTACTAATATATGATGATTTTTTTAAGATTTCCTGCCAATATTTATCTATGTTCTTGTACAATGTGGAATTATTGCTGCTGAAATAGAAGCAGATTACATGTGGGGTCTGCTTCATCCCTCTCTCTTATCCGGTGAAGGTGGATACTATCTTACAACACTCAGCAGTGCCGTCCATGTGTTGAAAAACTTTCAGACATGTAACCAAGATGCTAGTCAAACTCATTCTCCTTCATTTACATCAACTACCCAAATGTTTGACAAATCTCCTAAGCAGGTATAATTTCTAAACAATAACATACAATAAATCTTATGTTGTTTAAAATAAACGTTCATACATAATTTATTACTAATTATAAAAAACAGTTTTCTATAAAGCTAACATAATAAGCTTAAAAATTATTTTATTTTGTAAATTTCAGTTTATTTGTTTATGTTGTATTTTATGACATATAAGATGCACTTTCTTTCAGCACTTAATATTCAGGAAAAAGTAGTGTATTTATCTGTATCCTTTTGAAGTTCATTTGAAGAATTCATCAGCCTGTGGGGAGATTGCAGCTTCACATATAAGATGTGGGGCAAATTTTTTTTTGTATAAAAGTTGCATCTTATGTACTGTAAAATACAGTAAATATTTCATATAANCTGTGGAGATATTTATCATGGTAGTAACCAGATCTAAGTATGATACTGGCTCGGATGTCACCCAGGTTAACAAGGTCCATGTTTGTGGGTTAGGCAGAGGCTCACATTTGAAAAATAGGCCACAGTCCCCCTTGGTTACTTGTGGCAAAAGCAGCGCTGGCTCAAGCTAGGCTCTACTGCAATGCCCTCAACTGAAGTGAGGAACCTTCTGTGGCAATGCATTTCATCCGTTGGCTGGTAAGCCACGCACCAGGTGTCACCCGACCATGAAAAAAATAAAAACTTAAACAAACCATTACAATATTTTTCAACAATAAATCAGTTACGCTTGAAGCCATTTTAATCAAGTTATCTATATTAAATAATTTAATTTTATAGAATCTCTTCTGAATCGTATGGTCGCACTAAAGTTATTTCTGACAATTTGTTTATCAGTTGCTTTGTGTGAGAGGAGTTTCAGCAAACTAAAATTAATTAAAAATTACTTGCAGGCAACAATGACCCAAATAAGACTTAACAATCTTGGCACAATAGAATACAAGTTAACACAAAATATAAATTTTGAAGATGTAATTTTTGAGTTTGCAGCTGTTAAAGCTAGAAAGAAGAGCATTTAAGTGTTTGTACATAACATGTATATGAGAGTATATTAATTCTACTCTCGTTCTTCTTTTGCCATGCCCAACTTTCACTTTCATACATCAATGTGAAAGAATGTTTAATAAAACTGTACCCTTATTATCATAATATTGTAACTTGATAATTAATGACTCTTATTTGTATTAATTAAATAAAATCATACTTTATGTTTATCAGAATTTTATTAATTTTAACAGTTTTCATTCTTGAGGTGACACCACGATATCTGCACTGGGTGCTACCCATGCTAGCTACGCCACTGGCTCTCACTTATATTTCAGGAAACACTCATTAAATATACAGGTACAGATCCCATACAAAGACCACAAATACTAAAAATCAACGCTTCACTAAATTATGTAAATACAGTAATACCTCGACTTACGCTACCCCGACTTACGCAAACCTGGAGTTACACGATTTTCAAATCTCATCAATTCGTCTTTTGTTTGAGCGCCAAGCAACTCTCAATTACTCAATCCCCCCACACTATTGTTCGGCTTACATGTTCAGACATGTCACGTGGAATCGACACATTGCCACAATTTATTTTGTGTTATTTATTTCTGTGTTTGTTATATCTACGGAGATTTGAGAGACTCTATGTGGTAATTTCTTGTAACCGCGACCGAATCAAAAGATGAGATAAGATTAACGAGAACATTTATTAGCTTACATACATCCAACTTGGGTTTTACACAAATTGCGAAATTATACCCCGACTTACGCGAATTTGACTTACGCGGTTATTGCTCGGTCCCACCTATCACGTAAGTTCGGGGTATCACTGTACTCATTTACTACCATACTACATTCATTTAATTTCTACTCTCTTAGATATTCACACATTAGTTTATGCTGGGGCAGTCATAGTGGTGATACACCATGGACTGAAAATACAATCACAGACAGACACACACGAAACACAATTGTATCACAAGCCTGCTTGTCAGAGAAGAATAGAAACACAAATAAATGATTAGGCAATTAGGCAGACTGACACAATACACTAAAAACAACATAACAGCCAAATTAAAGAAATACAATATTTTTTACAATAAAATTTTGTGTGTTTTGATTTTCTTGTAAATCAAAACACACACAAAATGAACATCACAACACACACATTACAGAATATATTGATACTCTAAAACAAAAACTCACAGCTAAAGCACATAGACTCAAACGATACAAAACATGTTCACTACAAAAACAAAAAAATAAATTATTTACAAACAATGAAAAACTTTTACAGACAAATCAGTACCAAAACAAACACTGATACACAGCACAGTTGCACACCAACAGAAGAAGAACTCACAACGTATTGGTCTTCTCTTTGGTCCAGTGCTGTTACACACAATGCTGATGCAGGCTGGATCAAGGAGGAGAACAAAAACTTGCACTACATACCAACTATGCCCTGTGCTGAAATAAACGTACACGGCATCTGCTACGCTGTTAACAGAACACACAACTGGAAGACACCTGGTGTAGACAACATTCACAATTTCTGGTACAAACCATTTACATCACTGCATCAGGAACTATCTAAACACCTAACACACATCATCATCAATCCACAAGACGTGCCAAAATTTCTTACTCGGGGCATCCATCACTTACATGAAATCTAAAAACAACAATACCATAGATCCCATACAATACAGACCAATTACATGTCTTCCAACACTCTACAAATTATTGACATCCTGTATCACAAACAAAATATACAAACATGTTGAAGAACACGACATTCTTACAGAACAACAAAAAGATTGCCATAGAAATCACAGAGGATGCAAAGAACAGTTACTCATAGATTCAGTCATTCTACAGCAAGCACACAAACAACACAGAAACATACACATGGCATATATAGACTACAGAAAAGCATTTGACAGTATTCCACACAGTTGGCTGCTACATATTCTACACATGTACAAAATACATCCATCATTCATTGCATTCTTCCAAAACATTGTGCAGTACTGGAGAACAACACTACATCTCAGGGTTAGTAACATTTCCATACAAACAAACCAAATATTCATCAGATGAGGAATTTTTCAAGGAGATTCCTTGAGTCCTCTCTGGTTCTGCTTAGCCCTGAACCCATTATCCAACATGTTAAACAACACACAGTCTGGTTACAGTATTAGACATGAAAAAACAATACAGTTTACACTGTCACATCTCATGTACATGAACAACATAAAACTTTATGAATCAACACAAAAAAACTTCATCAAATCCTACAAATCACACATTTATACACCAAGGACATACAAATGGAGTTTGGCTTAGACAAATGCAAAACACTTCACATAGAAAAAGGAATCCTGAAGAAAGAAGATTTTACACTTGGAAATGGAGATGTTATTGAATTTATGGAAAAGATTGAGTTCAGGATTCCAACAAGCCAAACTAACAGAACATATACAAATAAAGCAAAGATTAATTAAAAATACCGAAGTACGTTCAATGTTATTCTCAGAACACAGTTAAAGCAATAAACACATATGTTGTCCTAGTACTCACTTATCCTTTTTAGTTATACATTGGACTCACACAGATCTTGAGCAACTCCAAAGGAAAACAAGAACAACACTTACTAAGCATAAACAACATCATCCTAAATCTGCCATAGAAAGATTAACCCTTCCGCGTAAAGATGGCGGACGTGGCTCGATCGACATAGTAAACCTTCACTACAAACAAATACAGATACTGCAAGAGTTTTTCTACAAAAAAAACAAGAAACACAATTACATAAAGCAGTAACTCTAGCATACTCAAATAACACACCATTAAATTTACACTCACAACATATAAAAAGCATAGACACCATCAAGCAATCGTGGGCTCAAAAGGCACTCCGTGGCAGGCATCCTTATGAACTGGCCCAGGATTTTGTTGACAAAACTGCATCAAACAGCTGGTTAGATCGGGGATGTCTCTTTGGGAAGATGGAAGGATTCATGATTGCCATGCAGGATCAGGTCATAAATACTAAAAACTAAGAAAACAGATACTCAAAGATACAACACTTACAAATGACACATGCAGAAAATGTCACATCATGCCAGAAACAATACAACACATTACTTCTGGTTGCAAGCTCTTGGCACAGACAGATTATTTACACAGACATAATCAAGTAGCAAATATAATACACCAAGAGCTTGCAAAGAAGCACAAATTATTAGACATCCATGAACCACACTACAAATACATTCCACAGACAGTGGAATGTATTTGTAGTGTTGGAAAACAATATGCACAAAATGTACTAAGACAGAGCCATAATCAAAGATAAAACATTTTACCACAACAGATCAGACATCACACTTATTGACAAACACAATAAAATCACATACATTATAGACATATCCATTCCAAACACTCACAATGTACAAAACACATTCACTGAAAAAACTAGCAAGTATACAGAATTCGCCCAGGAAATAAAGCATCTGCAGAAGATGGAAAGAGTGCTTATTGTACCTGTCGTTCTCTCCTGTACAGGTGTGATACCACACACACTACACAAAAGCCTGGGAACATTACAATTGAGTAGAAATACATACATCACACTACAGAAGGCCACTATATTGAATACATGCCACATTGTTAGGAAATTCCTGAATACAGACACTGACACACTTATTTAATTTTAATTTTTGGTTGCTATGCCTTGTCTCTGGTCCGGCATAGTACACAGCCACCAGTATCAACTAAGTATAATCCACTAAATACTGTATAATAATAATATAAAATGTCAATAGATAGCATAAATATGATTACCCATTTATCAGAATGAATTATGTTTAGGTTATTGATAAAATATATAAATTCAATATTACAATATGTTGAAGCTTATAATCAATAATTTCTTATAACATTTTTTAGTCACCACTGGAATCCCGTAAGCCAAGCATAGCTGATCTTCAAGGCTTTATGAAAATAGTTATTCCAGATGAATTAACTGGAAGTATTATATCAAAAACTTTTCCTGTCAGACCAAATATGACTACAAAAGAAGTTTGTAAGTAATTACAATTAATATATTTCTTCATTTATTATTTTTAGCTTAGTAAATTCTTTAGCTGTGTAGGGTGTGTAGAAGGTTAAAATAATTTATTATATAATTTAATTAAGAAAAACTTATAAAATTAATAATTTATAAGTTTAATTACTAAATAAATCTTAATAATTAAAGAATAAAAGTAAATATATTTAACTATTAAACTTAATATTTTATTTACTAGTTAAACATATTCACTTTTATTGTTTTAATTAATTTACAGTTATAAATATATAAGAAAATAATGATTAACCTATAGTGAATAAATTACTTCTTGATAAATATTTAGATAAAGACAAAATTATCATCAATTTAATGTAGAAAAATTTTCAAAAAAGTATTTCCTGTTAAGATGAAGAAATGTCTACATTTTGTGAGAATGCATTATAAAACTTTTAATTTATTATATTTTTGAAATTATGTGGACCAAAACTTGTGGAATTATATATGAAAAATATCAATATGAAAGTTGTAAATCAAACAGCTATAGTTTTTATGGAATACTATGTAGATGACATTATTCTTACTTATTATGTAAATAAGTTAAATATAGATGAAATAATATTATCTCAAATTAATAGTTACTTAAAATCTTAAGTAATATGCTTGTTATAATATTTGACACAATACGAGATATAAATTTTTGGTACAAGCTTTTATTTATAGAAGACAATGATAAATGCCAAGTTAATTCATATACAGTGGGTGATCGGTTAACGAACAGATCAGACAGTGAACAAATCGGATAACGAACACTTTCGTGAAAGATTTTTATGTTCGGATAACAAACATCCCACAGAACAAACACGAGAAGAAGCGACGTAAAATAACAAATACCGATTGGACTTTCCTTGTCTTCGGGCAACAATTCGAAACTTTTTGAAGTGTGGGAGACGTCGACATCGACGCTCAAGCTGGTATATACCGATCGGATAGTATTCCTCCGAACTTTAAAGCTCTCCCTTATAATTCCAGCCTTTTATTTTTATGACAAAATAATTCTTTTATGTATTTGCGAGACTGTCGTGTAGGCACTCGTTAAGTTTTGCGTCTGTTTTTTTGTAAGGTGAGAGTATAATAGCAAAGGTAAAGAGTGGGCAGAAGATGCCTAATGTTGCTGGGCAGTATGGCGTGAACAGGTCTACAGTAGGCTGCAGTTCATTTTTTTAAGAAAAATACTATATAATCAAGAAGACTCAAGCAGTTAAAGGAGTAACAAAAATTACATNCAAGCAGCTAAACGAGTAACAAAAATCACATCTGAGAAATATAGAACATCGAAGAGTTCATAATGGAACCTGAAACGGATCTGACGACAGAAGAATGCCATGAACTCTTGAATGAAGAACACCAAGAAACTCGGCGAGATATGTTTTCTTCTGAAAAAGAGGATTAATGCCGATATCTGTTATTAAAGATCCTTTGAAGAAGTGTGAGGATGTCAGAACAACGGTCTTAGAATGGCATCCAAACCAGGTTGAGCCTTGGGGATTTCTACAATTGCAATGCTATTAATTACTTACGAAAAATCCTGAAGAAGAGAGAAAAGCAATCGACATTAGACAGATTCTTTAATCCTTTCAAACTGAAAAAACATGACTAATAAAAACGCAAGACTGTACGTATGTATTTTTATTATTACATATAAATAAACGTAGTAAGAAAGTATATATTTTTTATTTTGGGGGTCTCCAGAACGAATTAATTAAATTCCCATTAAAACCTATGGTAAATCAATAATCGGTTAACGAACAATTTGGATAGCGAACAAAGTCTTGGAACGGATTATGTTCGTTAACCGATCACCCACTGTAATGGCTCAAAAGTCCCACTTATAATTTAAGAACAAAATAAAGTATTTTTTTATTAATTTCAAAAGCTGCTGATTTTTAAGGTCATCCAAGATCAAAAATTGTCCTCTGTATACTCTATAAACTTGATTATTAGTTCTATCTTCCTGTCTCTAACAATTTCCTAGAAAAAACTACTGAATGCCACCAGTGAATCACCCAATATGTGTGTATGTATGTAAAGGAATAAGTATTGAAAAATCAAAGTTTTATCTGTGACATATGATCTGTATTCTGCAAATCATATATGTTTACCATCTCACTCCAGAAAACCAGAAGTGTTTCCACTATTTTTTTCTCTCACTTCAAAGATTTAATCAAGGATTTAAAGTACAGCACACTGATTTAAAACATGGTCATAATCTGCATATATTCTGATAGTAGTTATATATTTATTAAATACTTTCCTAATTAGTTTTTTGTTTATAGTTGTTTAAGATGAAAATGATATCTATTCTGAACAATAATAATGGCAACGCATCCCTTACAGTGCTTTTCTGTTTTATCTTTAAAAAAATTAAAGTAAATTTTTAAAGTAATTTTTTAATTAAAATGTTTACATTATATAAATTTTACTAAATATTCAACTTACATATAATCAATCAATGCAATTAATTTAAAATAATTTTTTGTTTTATTAACACATACTGATTTCTAAATATCCTTATGTAATTAAAATGAAGCAATTCACATTTAAACATAAAAGGAATGTAGTACAGAATATATATCTACATGATATATATTCTGTATAGGGACATGGTTACACTGTGTGCCTACTAGTATATCAATATATAAGACAATTAGTGAGATGGCCCATTTCATTTCATTATAGATACTAGAAGTGGGCAATTTAGTTCTTCTGGAATTGGAATTGTTGGAAAAGTTCTTTGGAACTGCCTAGAATGTGTTTTATGAAATACGATCAATGAATATAAAAAAATTATTTCTTTTTATATGAAAATGGAATAGCATATAATGGAAAAGTGAAACATGAAATCATATTACTCTCAAAAGTGTAGCAGTAAATAAAATGTTGTCTGTTTGCAATTTATGTTTATGCCATAATTATAAATTTATATATTTATATATATAAAATAATAATTCTTGCATGATGTCTGTCTATTTGCTGTCTCTTCTTAACTTTTTGATCAATCTGCACCAAATTTTTCGTACTTATTCTCTAGAGCCCTAGGCTTTCATAAAACTGCAACATCCTACTCCTTTCTTGATTTTTTCTCATTGATACTTCATGATAAACATAACAATGGAAAGTAAAATAACCAAACTTTTAATATGGTTTCTGTTCATTGTTTGTTCTTTTTATTTTTGGTCCAGGCAATGCCAAGCATTTCTGTTAGTATACAAAAAAACGTGTATAAAGTGGAATTGCACAGTACTGAATTTTTCCCCATTTTGACATGTTTCTGTTTGGAACAGACTTTTAATATTTTTGTTTTTTCCTCTTATTTTTTAATCCTTTAAAATGTACCAGATAAATGTCACACAGTTACACTTATTTTTTGAAGTGAAATTACATGTGTAAGAAATATTTTATTATTATGTTTAATCTAAATTAATCTGAAGTGATTCATGTAAAGATGGACGTATTCAAATGCAAGAATTGAGAAGTATTCAATTCTTGCAGTAAAAAATTCTTGTTCTCAAGAACTTGTGTTAAGATCCATAGAGTGAACAAGTCAATTTGAGTACCAAGAACTAGTGTCTTGCTCTGCTACCAGAAATTCTTATTGCATTACAATAATACAGAGACTGTTATTCTCTGATCTGATATCTTGGGGAATTTTAATACTCTAATTTTTATAATTACTAATTATTAATTTTTATATTTACTAGAAATGTTAAGCAATTTGTTCTTGAATGTTTTGTACTAGTTACTTACTAACTATTCAGTACAAGGCAAACTGGTAGCATGTGTTATCTTATTCTCATAGTTTTCAATGAATTACATTCATTGCTTGGTTTTGAAATATCAGTTCTTAAACTCATTTGAGTTTTGAAAGTTCTTGATTCTTAAAAGTCTTAATTGGAATTAACTAAGGGCAGAAAAGGCCTTTATTAGTCTTTTATTCTGATAATTTTAATAAATTAATTAATAAAGATTAATTAAGGCCTTTTAATAATTAATAAAGGTCTTTTCTGTTCTTTTATCACATAACCTTTATTTCTCTGACAAGGTTTGAAATTGTTCTCATAATGCAGGTTGTCTCACTCTGTGGTGACCATTATACAGAAGACAATTTTTTGCAGTTGTCTGAGTCTAATTTTTCACTTTATTCTGGTTAAGTTAGGTTTTTTTCATACTCAAAAATCTCTTCTGTTTCTATGTTGGACAGATTTCTGGCTTATACAGTAGAACCTCGAAAACTCGGCCTAATGTGGACCGAAGGGTGGCCGAGTTTGTGAAAATGCCTGGTTATCGAAAATGGGGTTAAAAAAAATAAGTACGAGTGTTTCCTCAGAAAATACTGTACTGTACTTGTATGTATTGTTTACTTGAGAATACAACAGAGAATAAACTGCCCAAATACCCTTAAACAAAGGAAAACTACGTAGTTTATGAAGGCATAGAGCCTTTACTACATGAAAATGAAAATTAATGAATACACTGTGTACAGTAATTTACCTGACAACACAGACCTCAGAAAAATACTTTATGAGAGCTTTTATACTTTTATAAAGCTGTCTATAATGAAAATTAATTAACTAAGGATTTTTTGCCCTGCCAGGGTGTGGCCGAGTTATTCGGAGTGCCGGGTTATCGAGAGCCGAGTTTTCGAGGTTCTACTGTAGTAAAATTTGACTTTGAAAATTTTTGTTTCAAATTTTTTTCCATTTAGGAAGATTTTTATTTTATTGGGCTGCAATCTGAATAAATGTTGACCTGTAAATTCCCACTGTCATCCATCTGTCCATTCTTAATCTCAAGAACGATGTTAGATAGATGAAATTTAGGACCAAATATGGAAAGCTTAGGTGCAGGAGGCCCCAATTAACTATATACAAACTTCTAGTCTGGACCAAAAATCACGTAAATTCAATTTAAAAAGATATCCCTATGCAAATTACTTAAGACTTCTAAAATTCTATTCTGGCAGAGATTTGTAAAAATTTAAGAAATTGCTTTCTTTAAAGAGATTTAATAAAAATCATTTGCAACACAATTTATAAATTCTAGTTGACTTTTTAAAAGTTTATATACTTTGAACTAGTTTGAATGTTATTGATAAAATATGTCAATAAAAACAAGCTATGCTGGCAGAAATTGAAAGTGTTACACCCGCCCAATATTGTTGAAGACATATGAAATTGGGACAAAGGAATCTCTTTTTGAAGAGTATTGAATGATCAAAAATTAAATGAAGTATATATCACTGTATGTACATACAGTGGTATGGAAATTATGGAGACATTTGTTATGCAAAATTGCTATAGTGTTTAGTTTATATATAAGTTGTGAATTGTGTTATGGAACATGACTTTTTTTGGTCCACATGTTGTTGGTGACCAGCTATGTCATATTGATGAGTGAGAACTCCATACACCCAAATGTCTGACTTTGAAAGAGGTTGGATAATTGGCATGTCAGAAATGGGAGCATCATATCGTGAAATTGCCCGAAGGGACTGGCTATAGTGCAATGTCAGTGCAAAGAGTGGTCACGTGGTGGATGCAGGAAGGGTCCAGTACTCGTAGGCCTGGCACAGGTCCATACAGAAGGACGATGCCATGTGAAGACCACCATATTGTGTGGATGGCAGTTGCTGATAGAAGTCCGATGGCAGCCCATATCCGAGCAGTAGTTACTGCCAGAGTCACCCACAGACAATTGTAAACCGATTGCTTGATGCTGGGCTGAGATCTTGGACCCCCATGCAATGTATTTCCTTAACCAGATTTCATTGCCAACAATGGCTAACATGGTGTGCACTAGATGTAATTGGATGCATGAATAGCATACATTTGTTTTTAGTGATGAATCTCTATTCTGTTTAGGCAAATGTGATAGTCGGCAACATGTCCACTGGCATACTGGAGAAAGAGCCCACCCTGATGTGATTTCAGAATGCCATCAGGTCCAACTCCTGGTGTCATGGTTTGGGGAGCAATCAGTTACGACAGCAGGACCAAGTTGATGGTTGTTGAAGGCATAATGACCACCCAGCAGAGTGATCCACTCAGTAGTCATACCTTTCATGAACACCACCCAAAACGGTATCTTCCAACAAAATAATGCCCGTTCTCATGCTGCTGCTATCACATGACAGGCCTTGCAAAGTGACGCAATCATGGATTGGCCCGCCCAGTCTCCAGATTTATCCCCTATAGAGCATGTCTGGGATGCTAAGAGTAGACAGATCATGTCTCAGCCATCCAGCACGCACTGTACAACAACTAATTGCACAAGTTGTGCAGGCATAGAGAGATATGCCCCAACAAGACATTCAAGCACTTATTGATTCAATGCCTGCAAGGATCCAAGAGTTTATCCATGCTCAAGGTGGGCATTCCTCTTATAGAAACATGTACCAAATAGCAATAAAACTTTGCGTAATTCATTTCATTTTGTGTTCATTTCTTCTGGTATGCCCTGTATATGTTCACCAAGTTTCGTGAATTTCTATCAATTCCATCTGGGTGTAACACTTTCAATTTCCACCAGTGTATGTGGGTTGGATAAATATGCTTTGAGGGCTCCTGATTTATAACATTTATAATTGTATTATATGCTAAACCAATATTCAAAAATTAAATACAGTATTGAATTTATTTACAGTGTTAAATAATTTTATATTGTTAATTTGAATGAAATATATTACAGTAGAGCATCAATTATCTGAATGTCGATCAACTGAAACATCAATTAACCGAAAGCTTTCCAGTCGGCAAATTTAAATTTCCGCTAGTGCTGTGGTGCTGCAATCTTTGGCTATGTCTTGGGCTACTCCAATATTATTTTTGTTGGTGTGCGTGTTTTAGCTGGCAGCACTGGTGCGACCATGAAAGGGTACTTAAGGACGTGCCAGGATTTGAATGAATTTCAACATGGGATAGGTTAATATATTTTTTCGTACATAATCGGTTATCTAAAAAATCAATTTTCCAAACAACCCCAGTCCCCAATTGATCTGGATAATCGATGCTCTATTGTACTTTCAAGTAGAAAAGTTTTTTGTTTTACTAAAAGTGATTCTAATAAAGATAATATTTAAAGAAGCATAGTCAGTTTTTGATGAATATTATAAAAAAGTGAAGATAATGATTTTCCATTTTGTATACATACATAATAATTTTATTTATTTGTGAAAACTTCACTTCAACTTCATGAATTGTACTATGATCTTCATTTAGTTAGAAATATTTTTTCTGTATTTTTTTGTTTATTTAAATTATAGAAAAACTTCTTAATTATAAAAAGTTGAATTAAAAATATAATCAACATATACATAAATTATTTTATTATTATTTTCTTTGTAGGTAAAATGATTGCACATAAGTTTAATATAACTAATCCACAAGATTATTGTCTCTTCAAATTAGTAAAGGGGGAAGGTAAGTATAAAATTTGAAATTAAATAATAATGTTTAAAAATATGTATATATAACACATTTTTCATTTCTGTAGAAACACAGTTAGGTGACAATGAGTGTCCTCAAACTGTGAAAGAAGAATTATCTGTAAGTGGAGCAGAATGTGCATTTGCTTATAAAAGATGTGATGCTAAATTTGTCTGGCCTCTTCTGGAAAGCAGCTGAACAAACTTGGAGCATCTCATAATTGCAAAAATTGAAGCTGAAGTCAAATTATAAATATGCATTTTGAGCAATGTATAGTTAATGTGTTTAAATATTAATTTGATTGTCAGTTTTCTCTTAATCCATATTAATTTTGGAAACAGTGAATACTTTGACATAAATACAAAAAAGTATCACTATGTCTTTCATACAGTTTATTCTAAAACAACCAAAAAAATTCGAATTTTCATGAAAATATATGCCATATTACAGTCTAATTCAGCAACTGTGGAGTGCAAGAAATGTATTTTAGAAAATGTTTTGAAATTAGGGAAATATGTGTTTTGCATAACAAAGTAAATGATTATTGCAGTGACAAAAATAGATGCTTGATAGTTCATGAAATTTTATATAAATCATTCTCTCTTTATTCCAAATTCCTTCCTTCCAATATATCTTTTAATTTTTTTCTTCTACATTAGAATTGTAGTCTCCTAAATGTAAAATATAAATTTATATTTTCCATGCAATGGCATTATCCCATTTGTAATAAATTTTTCAATGGGAAAAACTATTTCCAATGATAATAGTATCCAAAAAATGTAATTCATAGAAATGTAACTATTTCATTTTTAAAAAGTTTGAAAAGTTGTGAAATTTTTAAATAAGATTTGTTTTGAAATGCAATATACATACATACTTTTTTTAGATGAATATCCATTTCTTCATTTGAATTACCTCAATTTTATAATTACATTAATTGTTTAGATTTAACTGATAGATTTTTTAATATTGTTATTTTTACTCTATTTAAAAACAATGTTCAGAATACAGTATTATGACCATTTGGTCAAAATTAATGTATTAAATTCAAAATATAGCACATATTTTATTTACGTGTTCCTTGCAGATGTTTTCTATCATGAGCATTTGTTTAAATCCTTTTTTAAATTGCATTAGCCTGATAATTAGTACTTATTTTAATTTTGAAAACAATACAGTTTCTCACAGTAATAATAACAACAACAATATTAACAAATGCAATTTTGTTTGGGACCATTTTATATTTATAATTGATACATTAATGTATTAATGAATTTATGTATCAAAACTATGAAGAAAAATGTGGTCAAATTGATGTAGTGTTTCCCATTTAATATCTAACCACAGAAGTAGTAAAAGTGTTAAAATACTTTTCTTATGTGGTGACATTCCACTTACTAGTCTAATGTGTACTTAATATATGTTATATTTTGCAAGTTTAATTTAATTGACAGTTTTAAAATTTAACAGAAGTTTTGTAACTGTCTCATAGGTTTACTTATATGTATGTGTGTATGTATATTCTACATATGCATACATATGTATATTCTTTCTTGGGATAACTTTTTTTATATTAAAAAATTATTTGTAGAGAATTTGAATAATGTAATGTGTATTTATATGAAAAATTGTCTTGTGTAAAGTAATGCATTCCACTTTTCTAACAACATATTGGCAAATGGATCAAAGCATTGTGAACTTTTTCTAATTTCAAAAGTATTACTCAAATAAACAGTAATTATTATAAATGGTGCTCATATTAATTTTGTCACAAGCAGTACAAGATATAGTACTTAAATAATCAAAGAGCACAATAATCAGATATACAGTACTTCAGTAAGTAATTCTTGTATGAAACCACACTGTCGAAGTTTGTAAGAAAATAAAAACTTTTGTTAATTTTTGCACACACTTTTATGTAAACATTTATTATACAACACTATAGGAACTGTGATTGAAAACACTAGCAAGGTGCCAAATCACTATAGCTCTTGCAGTTTACGATGCAACTGGTGATGGATATCACTGTTCTCATCCTTTATAAATACCACAATTTTTCAGTATCATGCATTTTTTTATGTCAAACAAGCAAACAATTTCTTTCTCATAAATTGTAAAATATAAATTTCAGTTCTTACATTTTGCATGATTTTTGTTTCATAAATATCTTCTATTACTGTTTTTAATTTTTTGTGTGTTTTCTTTTGTACATGTTCTGTTTTGCAAAATGTAATCACATCATGTGAATGTCTGTGATATGATATTTGATTAATATGAAAACAAAAAATATATACAGCAAAAAAAAATTTATAAAAAAAATTTATTAACTGCATTAACTGACTAAAATATTCAAAATGAACTATATTAAATATTTATCATCAGAAAAATTTCTCGTTGGATGAACATATACTAAAACAAATAGTAAATATGCATCTTGGCTTGTATTATAACATATTTCCTTGAATGGTTATATACAAACTTTCTATTAAAAAAAATACAAAAAAATTATATATATATATTATATATATTGTAAATGATTCTGTTGCATGTGGAATGATGGTATTTTATTGATTTTTATCAGTATGTATCAAGGCATATCTGAGATTATGTTTAATTTAAATTGGTTATTTGTATGATCGAGATCTTCCTTTATCATGCTCAATCTATGTCGTCCCAAAAGGGACTTTATTATTATTATTATTATTATTATTTAGGAATTATTTTGTACTCCTGTGCAGAGTATAACATCTTGTATATTTTGCAAGCTTTGAAAATATTAAATACTGCCTTATATCATACATGAGAATGAAGTCTGTGGTGTCTTGATATTTGCTTCTTTTTAATAAAATGTGACCACATCCTTGGTATATTTCCATAATTGTCTGATTTAATAAACACATAATCATATATTTACATTTAATTTTTTGTTAGACATTTAAAATCTAAATTTTATTCAAGTATATATTTAAGATTTTCATCTCAAATCTTTAGTGTAAATACCATAAATGTTCATTTCCTATCTGTGCTCTGTTAGATACTACAGAATCAGTTGAAACTAATACATAAGTTGGACTTCATAAAATTTTTAATAAATTGTACAAAATATTACAGAAAACTATACATAATAATATAAATCAAACTTATATAAAGTAACTCAGAAATGTATTGAAAAATGAAAGATAATTTATTGTGTTGTTTCTTAATTTGTTTTTAAATCATATTTGGAAATATTATATATAATTCTTATTTTTATTCATGAATGAGCAGTTATTTATTGTGACATCACTACAATGCCAGGTTCAATTTTAATCATATTTTTAATTTATTTAATTTAAAATATATGCTCTCCACCTCAAATTAGTAGTGACTTGCCCCATACATCATACATATCCTTTAACAATAGAGTCGTACCAGTTATCTATCTAACAACTTTCAGGGGGAAAGTCTTGAATTAAAAATGTGGCCTCCAGTTTGTATCAGAAGTTTGTATATAGTTAGTTAATCGGGGGCCCCTACCAATAAGGTTTCTACAGCTGGTCTTGTCTTTCATCTATCTAACACCGTTCTCGAGATTAAGGAAAGATGGATGGATGGATACAATTTTTTTTCAAATTGCAGCTCAACAATTTTTCACGTTTTAAACAGAAATTTCGCATCATAATTGAAAGCCTGTCATTTTAGAATCGTCTTCACTATGTCCTGGCATTATAAGTATTAACCTATAAACATAATGAACTTCACTTGATTCTCTAAGTGATTGTAATGTTTAAAAACAATGTATTTCTTGCAAATTGCGAAAGAAACAAACAATCAGCTTTGTCTAGAGCAAAGCTGATTGTTTGTTTCTTTCCAAGAAAGAGCCCCAACATGGCGACTGACGCGATGCATCACGGTATCGTGTCTTGACCTTTACGTTTATAAACAATGCCGAATAGGTGTGAAGTAACGCCGCCCTAGCGACGACAAAACTTCCCGTAGGAGGGAGAAAAGTGGAAAGGCTTGTTTATTATTTGTGGGCTGTGCTTTGAACAATTCACCAATTGTTTAATACTGTTTGCGGGAATATTTCAAATGACTAAAACAAATTGAGAAGGAATGTGCATTCTGTATTATTTCAAGATAAAGGTAAGCTTCACAAACTACATTAAATATGATCAATTGATATATATATATATAATTCAAAATTACCAAAGGAGTATATGCTCGATCGAGTAAGAAAATATGTGAAATGTGATGTCCCTGAGGTAATAAATGACAGCGGCCAACGATTGAACATTAACAGTCTCAATTGAACAATCTTGCTTTTAGCCCTTAAAAATGTTGTTTTAATCTTAGTCTATATCAATTAGACACACATACACGAGGGCTTATCACACCGGTGAACGGTAATTAAATTACAAAATCTTTAATGATTATTTACAATAAGATACAGCTCTTTTTGACAATATATTATACAGAACACTTAAAATGCATTTCCGACTCAATACGTCCCTCTTCAGTTAGTGTTCATAAACTTATATAAATCACAAACCATAAATTTATACATCTTACTGAATAGTTCAAGAATATTTCAATAATAGTATCTGAGGAAGTAAATAGATACAAGGTTTAACACATTACACGTTTATTTGACATATATGTATGTACAGAACAGGGCCAAAAGAGAGAGCTGGTGCCCTCGGTTTCTTAGCTTATATATCGGGCAGCCAAGCCCTCGGGAGCTGCTCTCGACAAGTCATGGTGAGATACGACATGACAATGCCAATGGATGTCGACTTGATTTTGCTAAAAATCGGACAGCGTTACACCGCTATTGTTTGGTGCACAACCGGAGAGGCGCCGCCATTTTATTGGCCCGTCGTCTTACGTTCTCGCTCATCGACAGTGTTGCAGGTCGCAATTACTGTTGCCTCTGACTCCAAGTTTCGTTTGTCAAAATTACTACTCTATTGCTCACCCTCCAGACTTTTAATGTCATCTTTCCGGTTTCTCATTGAGAGTGCCTCGTACAATTGTAACACAAAATTGATTTTAAAAAATTAACATTAAATATGACGTAATACAAGAAAACACGTGCAATTATGGCATAACTCTGATAAATGGTGATACTTTTGCGTCTCGGATACGATGGGTCTCTACTCTCGCACAACCCACTTAAAAAAGAAAGGCTCTTTTAGTGTCCCGTAGTAGAACGAGTAAAAAACAAACCCATTGCTGATTTAGCAAGCCCACAATTGGTTGATTGAAAAACTGGTTGACGAAGAGTAATAACTAACAATCTATTTTGAACAAAACTTTTTATTATTTTAAAAAATAACTAAACAAGACAGAAATTGCGTTAAGTATAATAAACACATTTGGTTCTTTCGGCTTGAATTATTCCTAATGAAATTGAAGATAATTATACTGGAGCTAGTGGTTCTCGTCCTTCTAAAACTTCTACAATATTTCTTGCGTTAAATTCGGCTTGTTCAATAATGAGATCCCTTTCGGAACTACCGATGTGAGGAGAAAGAACTGCAACAGAAATTCTAGAATATTTATATACATCTTATATAATTATAATATTTTTGTGTGTTACGTACAGAACACTATCCTGTTATAGTTGCGGAAACTCGGCATATATACGGTAGCACACTATTTTGCGCGGCATACATTATCATTTTAATGTAAATTTTCATTTAAAAACTTATTATTAATTATCAGGGGCGGACTGGCCATGTGGAAAATGTGGAAAATTCCACATGGGCCGTTTTTTTCTAAATATGTACATAACGTACCGTTTGGTTAAGTTTAATTTTAAAAAATTCATTTATTTTTTTGTTAAGTAAGGTAAATTTCAGTTTTTAGGTATAATATAGGTATGTGTAGGCCTGTATCATTTTACCCGGCGCTACCCGTATCCGAAGTTAAATTAGTTCGGCCGATCTGAGTCAAACACTACATTAGCTCGATTCGGCCCAAACAGAAAGCATCCTAGAAGAAAAATAATCAAAACTACCTTCTAAACCAGTGTTTCTCAACGGGGGCGATATCGCCCCATGTAGGCGTTTTTCCATGTTGAGGGGACGATTAGTAACAATTTATATTTTGGGGGCGAAAAAAATTTTCTGGGCGATATAGTAAAACATTATATTAAGAATAATTAGATATTTTATTCGTTATATCGTACAATAATTAAACAAATAACATTACACTAGTGACTAGTCTATTCAATGCAGTATGAATTTGGCGTTAGCCTTGGCCCTCGGAATCGGAATTTTGGAGTGAAGGGGGCGACGATTCGTTAGAGGTTGAGAAACGCTGTTCTAAACAGAGAAAATTGGTCATTTGTTTACATTGCTAGAAACTGTTCATCATTCCTATGAATCTTAATGCTAAACTATAGAAATGCACGTTATTAGTTTTGTAACTAGCCACCAAAGCAATGATTGTAGTCATAACAAATTTAATGGCCACTTATATTATTTCCTTTATTTTAGGCAAGTAAAAAATGTTATTCAATAATAATTTCTCTGTATTCCAAACGATTTAATTAAAAATAATATATTTTGTAGTGCCAGGCCGTGACCCCACCCCCTCCAATGGGAAACTGGTTGTCGAGCTAAAGCTAATATATCGACGATTTATTTCGTAAACAGGAACGAGTGTAAGACGATTTAATTGTCGCATTCCCGGACCAAATTCACACGTCCTCGATCTAGATCAGGGAAGGTGAGAGAGAAAGCAACCGGGGAGAGTTAGACTGTCATCTTACAGCGAGTTCAAAGCACATTAGACCAAAATTTACGGGACCATCACTAAATATTCCTGAAAATGCATTTCAAAAATTAAGCAGTATTTTAATACAGTTTAATCCAGTAGCTACTCAACACAATATCATTTCAGAATTGCAACANATTTTTTCTGTATTTTTTTGTTTATTTAAATTATAGAAAAACTTCTTAATTATAAAAAGTTGAATTAAAAATATAATCAACATATACATAAATTATTTTATTATTATTTTCTTTGTAGGTAAAATGATTGCACATAAGTTTAATATAACTAATCCACAAGATTATTGTCTCTTCAAATTAGTAAAGGGGGAAGGTAAGTATAAAATTTGAAATTAAATAATAATGTTTAAAAATATGTATATATAACACATTTTTCATTTCTGTAGAAACACAGTTAGGTGACAATGAGTGTCCTCAAACTGTGAAAGAAGAATTATCTGTAAGTGGAGCAGAATGTGCATTTGCTTATAAAAGATGTGATGCTAAATTTGTCTGGCCTCTTCTGGAAAGCAGCTGAACAAACTTGGAGCATCTCATAATTGCAAAAATTGAAGCTGAAGTCAAATTATAAATATGCATTTTGAGCAATGTATAGTTAATGTGTTTAAATATTAATTTGATTGTCAGTTTTCTCTTAATCCATATTAATTTTGGAAACAGTGAATACTTTGACATAAATACAAAAAAGTATCACTATGTCTTTCATACAGTTTATTCTAAAACAACCAAAAAAATTCGAATTTTCATGAAAATATATGCCATATTACAGTCTAATTCAGCAACTGTGGAGTGCAAGAAATGTATTTTAGAAAATGTTTTGAAATTAGGGAAATATGTGTTTTGCATAACAAAGTAAATGATTATTGCAGTGACAAAAATAGATGCTTGATAGTTCATGAAATTTTATATAAATCATTCTCTCTTTATTCCAAATTCCTTCCTTCCAATATATCTTTTAATTTTTTTCTTCTACATTAGAATTGTAGTCTCCTAAATGTAAAATATAAATTTATATTTTCCATGCAATGGCATTATCCCATTTGTAATAAATTTTTCAATGGGAAAAACTATTTCCAATGATAATAGTATCCAAAAAATGTAATTCATAGAAATGTAACTATTTCATTTTTAAAAAGTTTGAAAAGTTGTGAAATTTTTAAATAAGATTTGTTTTGAAATGCAATATACATACATACTTTTTTTAGATGAATATCCATTTCTTCATTTGAATTACCTCAATTTTATAATTACATTAATTGTTTAGATTTAACTGATAGATTTTTTAATATTGTTATTTTTACTCTATTTAAAAACAATGTTCAGAATACAGTATTATGACCATTTGGTCAAAATTAATGTATTAAATTCAAAATATAGCACATATTTTATTTACGTGTTCCTTGCAGATGTTTTCTATCATGAGCATTTGTTTAAATCCTTTTTTAAATTGCATTAGCCTGATAATTAGTACTTATTTTAATTTTGAAAACAATACAGTTTCTCACAGTAATAATAACAACAACAATATTAACAAATGCAATTTAGTTTGGGACCATTTTATATTTATAATTGATACATTAATGTATTAATGAATTTATGTATCAAAACTATGAAGAAAAATGTGGTCAAATTGATGTAGTGTTTCCCATTTAATATCTAACCACAGAAGTAGTAAAAGTGTTAAAATACTTTTCTTATGTGGTGACATTCCACTTACTAGTCTAATGTGTACTTAATATATGTTATATTTTGCAAGTTTAATTTAATTGACAGTTTTAAAATTTAACAGAAGTTTTGTAACTGTCTCATAGGTTTACTTATATGTATGTGTGTATGTATATTCTACATATGCATACATATGTATATTCTTTCTTGGGATAACTTTTTTTATATTAAAAAATTATTTGTAGAGAATTTGAATAATGTAATGTGTATTTATATGAAAAATTGTCTTGTGTAAAGTAATGCATTCCACTTTTCTAACAACATATTGGCAAATGGATCAAAGCATTGTGAACTTTTTCTAATTTCAAAAGTATTACTCAAATAAACAGTAATTATTATAAATGGTGCTCATATTAATTTTGTCACAAGCAGTACAAGATATAGTACTTAAATAATCAAAGAGCACAATAATCAGATATACAGTACTTCAGTAAGTAATTCTTGTATGAAACCACACCGTCGAAGTTTGTAAGAAAATAAAAACTTTTGTTAATTTTTGCACACACTTTTATGTAAACATTTATTATACAACACTATAGGAACTGTGATTGAAAACACTAGCAAGGTGCCAAATCACTATAGCTCTTGCAGTTTACGATGCAACTGGTGATGGATATCACTGTTCTCATCCTTTATAAATACCACAATTTTTCAGTATCATGCATTTTTTTTATGTCAAACAAGCAAACGATTTCTTTCTCATAAATTGTAAAATATAAATTTCAGTTCTTACATTTTGCATGATTTTTGTTTCATAAATATCTTCTATTATTGTTTTTAATTTTTTGTGTGTTTTCTTTTGTACATGTTCTGTTTTGCAAAATGTAATCACATCATGTGAATGTCTGTGATATGATATTTGATTAATATGAAAACAAAAAATATATACAGCAAAAAAAAATTTATAAAAAAAATTTATTAACTGCATTAACTGACTAAAATATTCAAAATGAACTATATTAAATATTTATCATCGGAAAAATTTCTCGTTGGATGAACATATACTAAAACAAATAGTAAATATGCATCTTGGCTTGTATTATAACATATTTCCTTGAATGGTTATATACAAACTTTCTATTAAAAAAAATACAAAAAAATTATATATATATATTATATATATTGTAAATGATTCTGTTGCATGTGGAATGATGGTATTTTATTGATTTTTATCAGTATGTATCAAGGCATATCTGAGATTATGTTTAATTTAAATTGGTTATTTGTATGATCGAGATCTTCCTTTATCATGCTCAATCTATGTCGTCCCAAAAGGGACTTTATTATTATTATTATTATTATTATTTAGGAATTATTTTGTACTCCTGTGCAGAGTATAACATCTTGTATATTTTGCAAGCTTTGAAAATATTAAATACTGCCTTATATCATACATGAGAATGAAGTCTGTGGTGTCTTGATATTTGCTTCTTTTTAATAAAATGTGACCACATCCTTGGTATATTTCCATAATTGTCTGATTTAATAAACACATAATCATATATTTACATTTAATTTTTTGTTAGACATTTAAAATCTAAATTTTATTCAAGTATATATTTAAGATTTTCATCTCAAATCTTTAGTGTAAATACCATAAATGTTCATTTCCTATCTGTGCTCTGTTAGATACTACAGAATCAGTTGAAACTAATACATAAGTTGGACTTCATAAAATTTTTAATAAATTGTACAAAATATTACAGAAAACTATACATAATAATATAAATCAAACTTATATAAAGTAACTCAGAAATGTATTGAAAAATGAAAGATAATTTATTGTGTTGTTTCTTAATTTGTTTTTAAATCATATTTGGAAATATTATATATAATTCTTATTTTTATTCATGAATGAGCAGTTATTTATTGTGACATCACTACAATGCCAGGTTCAATTTTAATCATATTTTTAATTTATTTAATTTAAAATATATGCTCTCCACCTCAAATTAGTAGTGACTTGCCCCATACATCATACATATCCTTTAACAATAGAGTCGTACCAGTTATCTATCTAACAACTTTCAGGGGGAAAGTCTTGAATTAAAAATGTGGCCTCCAGTTTGTATCAGAAGTTTGTATATAGTTAGTTAATCGGGGGCCCCTACCAATAAGGTTTCTACAGCTGGTCTTGTCTTTCATCTATCTAACACCGTTCTCGAGATTAAGGAAAGATGGATGGATGGATACAATTTTTTTTCAAATTGCAGCTCAACAATTTTTCACGTTTTAAACAAAAATTTCGCATCATAATTGAAAGCCTGTCATTTTAGAATCGTCTTCACTATGTCCTGGCATTATAAGTATTAACCTATAAACATAATGAACTTCACTTGATTCTCTAAGTGATTGTAATGTTTAAAAACAATGTATTTCTTGCAAATTGCGAAAGAAACAAACAATCAGCTTTGTCTAGAGCAAAGCTGATTGTTTGTTTCTTTCCAAGAAAGAGCCCCAACATGGCGACTGACGCGATGCATCACGGTATCGTGTCTTGACCTTTACGTTTATAAACAATGCCGAATAGGTGTGAAGTAACGCCGCCCTAGCGACGACAAAACTTCCCGTAGGAGGGAGAAAAGTGGAAAGGCTTGTTTATTATTTGTGGGCTGTGCTTTGAACAATTCACCAATTGTTTAATACTGTTTGCGGGAATATTTCAAATGACTAAAACAAATTGAGAAGGAATGTGCATTCTGTATTATTTCAAGATAAAGGTAAGCTTCACAAACTACATTAAATATGATCAATTGATATATATATATATAATTCAAAATTACCAAAGGAGTATATGCTCGATCGAGTAAGAAAATATGTGAAATGTGATGTCCCTGAGGTAATAAATGACAGCGGCCAACGATTGAACATTAACAGTCTCAATTGAACAATCTTGCTTTTAGCCCTTAAAAATATTGTTTTAATCTTAGTTAGTCTATATCAATTAGACACACATACACGAGGGCTTATCACACCGGTGAACGGTAATTAAATTACAAAATCTTTAATGATTATTTACAATAAGATACAGCTCTTTTTGACAATATATTATACAGAACACTTAAAATGCATTTCCGACTCAATACGTCCCTCTTCAGTTAGTGTTCATAAACTTATATAAATCACAAACCATAAATTTATACATCTTACTGAATAGTTCAAGAATATTTCAATAATAGTATCTGAGGAAGTAAATGGATACAAGGTTTAACACATTACACGTTTATTTGACATGTATGTACAGAACAGGGCCAAAAGAGAGAGCTGGTGCCCTCGGTTTCTTAGCTTATATATCGGGCAGCCAAGCCCTCGGGAGCTGCTCTCGACAAGTCATGGTGAGATACGACATGACTTGGATGTCGACTTGATTTTGCTAAAAATCGAACAGCGTTACACCGCTATTGTTTGGTGCAAACCGGAGAGGCGCCGCCATTTTATTGGCCCGTCGTCTTACGTTCTCGCTCATCGACAGTGTTGCAGGTCGCAATTACTGTTGCCTCTGACTCCAAGTTTCGTTTGCCAAAATTACTACTCTATTACTCACCCTCCAGACTTTTAATGTCATCTTTCCGGTTTCTCATTGAGCGTGCCTCGTACAATTGTAACACAAAATTGATTTAAAAAAATTAACATTAAATATGACGTAATACAAGAAAACACGTGCAATTATGGCATAACTCTGATAAATGGTGATACTTTTGCGTCTCGGATACGATGGGTCTCTACTCTCGCACAACCCACTTAAAAAAGAAAGGCTCTTTTAGTGTCCCGTAGTAGAACGAGTAAAAAACAAACCCATTGCTGATTTAGCAAGCCCACAATTGGTTGATTGAAAAACTGGTTGACGAAGAGTAATAACTAACAATCTATTTTGAACAAAACTTTTTATTATTTTAAAAAATAACTAAACAAGACAGAAATTGCGTTAAGTATAATAAACACATTTGGTTCTTTCGGCTTGAATTATTCCTAATGAAATTGAAGATAATTATACTGGAGCTAGTGGTTCTCGTCCTTCTAAAACTTCTACAATATTTCTTGCGTTAAATTCGGCTTGTTCAATAATGAGATCCCTTTCGGAACTACCGATGTGAGGAGAAAGAACTGCAACAGAAATTCTAGAATATTTATATACATCTTATATAATTATAATATTTTTGTGTGTTACGTACAGAACACTATCCTGTTATAGTTGCGGAAACTCGGCATATATACGGTAGCACACTATTTTGCGCGGCATACATTATCATTTTAATGTAAATTTTCATTTAAAAACTTATTATTAATTATCAGGGGCGGACTGGCCATGTGGAAAATGTGGAAAATTCCACATGGGCCGTTTTTTTCTAAATATGTACATAACGTACCGTTTGGTTAAGTTTAATTTTAAAAAATTCATTTATTTTTTTGTTAAGTAAGGTAAATTTCAGTTTTTAGATATAATATAGGTATGTGTAGGCCTGTATCATTTTACCCGGCGCTACCCGTATCCGAAGTTAAATTAGTTCGGCCGATCTGAGTCAAACACTACATTAGCTCGATTCGGCCCAAACAGAAAGCATCCTAGAAGAAAAATAATCAAAACTACCTTCTAAACCAGTGTTTCTCAACGGGGGCGATATCGCCCCATGTAGGCGTTTTTCCATGTTGAGGGGACGATTAGTAACAATTTATATTTTGGGGGCGAAAAAAATTTTCTGGGCGATATAGTAAAACATTATATTAAGAATAATTAGATATTTTATTCGTTATATCGTACAATAATTAAACAAATAACATTACACTAGTGACTAGTCTATTCAATGCAGTATGAATTTGGCGTTAGCCTTGGCCCTCGGAATCGGAATTTTGGAGTGAAGGGGGCGACGATTCGTTAGAGGTTGAGAAACGCTGTTCTAAACAGAGAAAATTGATCATTTGTTTACATTGCTAGAAACTGTTCACCACTCCTATGAATCTTAATGCTAAACTATAGAAATGCACGTTATTAGTTTTGTAACTAGCCACCAAAGCAATGATTGTAGTCATAACAAATTTAATGGCCACTTATATTATTTCCTTTATTTTAGGCAAGTAAAAAATGTTATTCAATAATAATTTCTCTGTATTCCAAACGATTTAATTAAAAATAATCTATTTTGTAGTGTGAGGCCGGGACCTCACCCCCTCTCCAATGGGAAACTGGTTGTCGAGCTAAAGCTAATAAATCGATGATTTATTTCGTAAACAGGAACGAGTGTAAGACGATTTAATTGTCGCATTCCCGGACCAAATTCACACGTCCTCGATCTAGATCAGGGAAGGTGGGAGAGAGAGCAACCGGGGAGAGTTCGACTGTCATCTTACAGCGAGTTCAAAGCACATTAGACCAAAATTTACGGGACCATCACTAAATATTCCTGAAAACGCATTTCAAAAATTAAGCAGTATTTTAATACAGTTTAATCCAGTAGCTACTCAACACAATATTATTTCAGAATTGCAACATTTTAAATCGTCATGGAATATTTTAAAGGAAAATGTCAATGAAACTTTTATAAAATTAAACGAAAATGAACATTCTACTGATGATCAAGTAGAAACTAATAAAGATGCGATTTTATCCTCTTACTGCATTGCTTGCAAAAATTGCTCTATTTGTTGTTATAATATATTATTCAGATATAACATGTTAAGTGGCGCTTATTCTATACTTGGTCAAGCATACAAATATCTGCTATCTATGTCTGTAACACAAGTGTCCGGTGAACAAAGCTTTTCTATGTTAAAATTAATTAAAAGCAGGCTAAGATACTTATAAGTATCTCGCAAGAAAATCTAGAAGCCTTCGTGTTAATGTCAGTGGAGAAGGATTTTTTAAACGAAATACATTCTGATGATGTCATTAATATTATTGCTCAACAAAGCAAACTTCTAAATAAAAAATTAATATTGTAGAATATAGACTTGTGCTTATTGTAATTTTTGTCAATGTTGTATTTTGAATATATTTAAATATAAATAGAAAAAAAATACATATTGATAATAAAACATATTTTCAATGCTTTAATTGTAACGAAAGACAAGAGCGTTCAATTAAGAAATAGAGAGCTTGTGGCCAAAGTTTTCATCTCTAAAACGTGAACGTCCAACGTTGAGCGCCGCCATCTGTAAGCCTAGAAGTTTGACAATGGTGTTGGAACGTCATTTTGGTGTTTTGAAACGAAAATTTCTGAGATTTTCCAGGGTGATATGTGTGTTTGGGGGATTGATGCTGTTAAATTTTGGTGATTAAAGGTCGAAGGAGTGGAGAGATAATGACGGTCGTGTGTCATATGTCGAGTAGGGTCAGACTTAATGACAATTTTACTCGTTATTAGCATTTACGTTTTTTTATAAAATCCATCCTTGCCCTCAAAATTAAACTTTCTGACATTTTATAATAATTAAAAATATAAAAAGTTTTAAAATAAAATATGATAACAGATGGCGCCACCAAATGTTGCCGGGAAAGTTAAGCAACTCGTCGTTGGATTTTTAAAAATATTTTTAAAATAATAAGGACATATTAACTGTTTCGATTATTTGTTATATTCTATTTTACTCTTCAGCCCACTAAACCACCGAACACCGGTGGTGGTTTCGCGCCTGGCCAACGGGCTGGCCACATGGAATGTTTCGTGTTTTCTTCCCTAAATAGGCCATTTTCCCGTAGTCAGGCCTCCGAGGAAGCGTTTTCTAATTCACTCTCACCTATATTAGGAAGGGAAACCAATTTATGGTCTTTTGGTAGAGGTTCTGGAACCATCACGTCTAATCCCGCGGCTCGGATTGTTCCATTCTTTAAAGCATTATAGAGATCGTCTTGTTGAACCACTCCGCCTCTGGATTAGAAAATATTATATATTTTACAATATAAAAAAGTATTTTTAAAATAAATAAAAAAAGTATCTTACCTGCTGACATTAATGAAAACGGCCGTAGATTTCATCAAATCGAAAGCAGTGGCGTTGAATATTTCTCGTGTGCCGTCACAAAGTATGCAACTAGCAATAACGAAGTCGGATTCCTTTAATAAATCTTCGAAAGAAGAATAAACGGCTCCTAAATTTTCGGCTGTAAAAATATTTAAAGTTTTAATTCCCGTAAGACGAATACAATGAAAATATCCCCGAATAATATAGAAATATCCACTTACCTTGTTCGACTGGATGTATAACATCGTAATAGAGTACTTTCTTCACATTAAATGGTATAACTCGCTTCAAAATTCCTTGTCCTTGAACATAAAGAAAATAAATTTCGTAAAGCATGACTACGTAAAAGATTAATAATATGACGTTTTATTTAAAAATCCTACCGATTCTTCCCATTCCCACAATACCTACTGTTGCATTTTTGAGTCCCTTTCCGCAATACCAAGTAGGACTCCATTTTTCGGTCCACTTCCCCCTAAAATGTAGACAAAAATATATTCTCTATCTTCTGGAGATCAAGAAATACATTTTCTGTAAATGATTTTCTCTTTTTTTGCGCGTTTGTTTGCCTTCTTTTTACTTTCCCGGTTGTTAGGGGTATCGATAGTAATAAATTTTGGTGGTTAAATGTCAAGAGGTGGGAAGATAGAGGGAGGTTACTTAAGTGAATGATCGGACTTATTTACGAACAGTGTTCTAACAAAGAATCGCCCTTTATTAAATTAAATAATTCTTACTTGGCGATTGCGGATGAAGCTTCTACGATTCTTCTTCCCACTCCTAATAGTAAACCTAATGCAAATTCTGCAACCGAATCCGTACTTAGGTGAGGAACGTTGGTAACAAGAACATTTCTAGAACAATTAAAGTACTTAAAAATATAACAGTTTAATCTCGTATTATCGATTTTACGCGTTGATATCGATTATTAGTACCTTTTCTTGCATTCGCCCACGTCTATGTGATCGAAACCAACGCTCATAGTCGAAACCACTTTCAGTTGTTTTCCTAAAAGTTAATCCGATGTATTTTTAAGTAAAACGAATGCCAAATATGTAAAATATGAGAAAGAACGAGATATACCTGCAGCATTTAATATATCCGAATCGACGATATCCGTAGATATACAAAAAATAGCATCCACACCTTTGACTCCTTCGAGAAAGTTCTTTCTAGGACAGGGTCGGGGTTGGTCGTAGCTAACAACCTCGCATCTTAGAAAGAAATTGAGATTCTTTATGTTAATGACGTTAAACGTGATTGTGACGTCAGATTTTAATGCAAATATAATAATTAATTGTAATAAATAATGAAAAATCTTACTTCGTTTGTAGTAATTTTATGGCATTGCTTGGAAAATCCGATCTGGTTACGAATACTTTTGCCATGTTAGTAAAATTTTCGTCAAATGAGCACTAAACTGTTATCGAAGTGTGATAATTTCCTGTAGAAACCGATTAGAAACACAATAATTTGTTCGATAACACATAAGTTATATACTTTTTCCCTTCTTGCTACGTAGACTTCAGATGCTAAATATAATTTGAAAATAATCAATGTAAGAAAATAAATTTCTTATACCGAAGTTAATTGAACATTAATTTAACACATACTAAAATAAGAATAATAATTATGTTTGTTTAATTTTTTTATATATACTTTATAACAGCGTATTTCACTAGGCAAAGTAATTCTCCCCTATGATTCGAGTCAATTGATGCAGTCTAATTTCAGGAATGATTTATTGATTTGATTATTCCTATTAATTTAAAGCATCCGAAAGAGTTACGTGACTTTTTTTAAGTTCTAGAATTATAATAAAATAAATGAAAATTTAAAGTTAGAGGAAATACAAACTTTTTAGATCAAGATGCGTTGTACTGTCCTATCTAAAGTTTTTCCTTTCTCATCCCCAATCTACTCGTGAAGTATAGAAGACAAGCTGGGGGAACTACAGTCACGTGACCACCACTATCGTTTTACGGCGGGGTCAATCGAAGATAATATTCGATAATCGGAAGTGACGTGGCGTGAACTTTAGGATCGAATATCCGGCGAAGAATCGTGTTGATTTTGCTTTTATTGATCGTATACACAGGTCGACAACTTTGCTAGAATTTGGTATTAAACTTGTCCGAAAATAAATACATTTTAAAGTTAAAAAATTATATATATAAATATCTTGGCTCGTTCGTGCAATAAAACAAATTAGCTTATTTAAAAGAATCAATTCTTTCTGAATATCTCTTATTGATGAAGCAGTTTTAAAAAATAAATTGGATCGCTCTCGATCCAAATGTTGCTAATAATAAAAATACATCGTGGATTAAATTAGCGAGGTTGCACCACAACCGCTCTATTAAGTGGAAGTCATATTACAACAAACAAAGAGATCTCCTAGCCTAATATCGCCTTACTTAATGTGTCAAACAGCAGCAAATACAAACAAAATCAGGGAATGACTGAATTAGTAGGCCTATATATATATTATTATTATTATTATTATTACCTAAATATATGCACTCTACGACAAAATTTGAAATCGAAAAGGCTTGAAAATGTCTTGAAACTCTCCCAAGCTACAAAGAAAATAATGGCGCCACATCCGGTTTGATTGGAGACTGCTAACCAACCGGAAAGGTCTTCCGGTTAAAATGTGTTCTCGCACATCACGAAAATTTATTGTTTTATTTTATTATTAAACTAAAGAAATGGACTTTTCTACCATCACACATATTTTAGCCTAATTTTAGATACCGCATTAGCTATTATGAAAAATTCCTCTAATGTGAAATAAGAAATATTACAGTATTCAAATTTTTATTCCTGTCGAAGTTGAACCAATTTTACTTATTACAGATACGTTTTACTTACGTTCTTTACGTGGTTTAATGGAGATAAGGCAACTAAACACAAGGGCATTGCCAAGGGGATATTTTAAGTTAAGTAAATTAAAAGTATGATTAAAAATTGCAATCCGGAATTGTGACGATGTCACAATAAATAATTGCTCGTAGTTAATTATAATTTTAATTTTTTCGAGTATAATTTTTAATTAATTTACTGAACGATCTTTCTCAGCAGATTTCCTAAAAACAAAGATTATATCGGCCTACATACGAGAATATTGGAAATAATGAAAAGACACTTGCATAACAAAGGACGTAATTATAATTTTGAGTTGCTCGAAAAAAATTTATGGAGAATTATCAACAAAAACAATATTAATTAATGCATTGACTTCCAGGAAACCGCTTTCTATGAAACTCTATAAGGATAAAAGCAAGCAGCTAACTCGTTTATGATAGTTTCTTCAGTTATATTATTTTTCTTTTATTAAAAGATACTGCGGAGATTAGTTTTGTGTCATTGCCCAATCCTTCTCCTCTTTCGGAGAACCACAGCGGAATTTCCAAGAGTTTGTAGTGTTACGTACAAAAATATAAAATTAAAATGAATAAAAAACCGCAGAAGATACCATCGAATTCTAGAAACAATAAAACAAAGATTTTGCGAAATAATAAAAGAGATTTGTTACGAAAGTAGTAAAGAAATTTTCGAATTTACAATGTAACTAAACACTTCCACTACTCGGTAAATAATAAAATAGAAAAAAGTGCAAAGCGAAACTCTGGATTGTGGGAAGATAAATGAAAACTGCAAGAAATGGAAGAGGAAAGAACTATTTAAAGAATGTAAAAGAGTGAAGAAAAAATGAAGAAATGCAGTAAGAAGAATAAAGAAAATTTCGTAAGCGGTTTAGCAAATAGGACAGAAGATGCGGTAATAAGAAAATAAAACAAAAATGACACAAAATATCGTACGGTGTGACAAAAAGTTTCTGGTTCAATGGCAATGCAAACAAACATTTATAAAAAGCAAGAATTAAGTCAATACCTGATGCCTGGCAGCTTTTTAAGTCCTTTAATAATTTTTTTTATTTCAGCTGTTTGCTTTATTCTCTTTCACTTTTGTCTCTGTACTTGTATTTTAATCCTACTTTGTTTTTTTTTCCTTGTTAAGTATTTCTTTAAATCCTTCTTCTAAGTTTTTCCAGTCGATTTCTTTTAATCACACGAAAATTCTGAAAGCGACACCCGCCATCACTTTGCATCCTTTTAACTACATACACGGAAGCAAACGGGACAATCGCCCTTCTTTGGGATCGAGTAAAAAATTCCACACAAAGTAAAACCCCAAAAAATGAAATAAAAATTTATTGGTGTAATTATTAGTCTCCCAGCTTTGGCTCCCATCCTTGAAAATTTTCTGCGGACACCCACCATTAGTCAAAAAAAACTGATTGCAACTACTGTCACAGTGAATATCTATTCTATTTTATTTGATTTTCTTACGGGTCTACACATTTTCCATTAATGATAATTTGTACAAACTGCATTAGACGGTGTACATTTTCACAGAAAAACTAATTTGTTTGGCTTGCTTTGTTACTTTCATTATATATTAGTCTATAAGAAACATCGATGGATAAACGATAACGTAATTCTTCAAATAAATCTCGAATATTATTGATTATACCATTTAATTATGATATAGTGTATTTTAATTTGAAATAAATGATATAAAAGTTAAATGATATACATATATATATATGTGGTGTTCGACGCACCACCTAATTATGTGTTGGTTGGGAATATATAACACCTGAAGTCATATATCTCATCATGTGATTTATTTACACAATATACAGAAATTTCGTTTTACACTATCAAGTAAAAGATGGTCGGTTAGGAGATCGACGTATAGGTGTAGGTACAGGTACAGTGCGGAGAGTAGCCGAGAAGAGGTAAAAAGAATAATGGCGGACGACCTGCACATGTTTTTATATCCTCGCTCCAGCGCCACCTGGATTTCCAGCTGCGGCTCTAAGGCCGCCACATATATATATATCATTCAACTTTTGAGATACACACAATCCCCTTTATCTCCCAACCCCCTTGACCTTTAATGAAATATATATATATATATATATCTGAGACACATGGACAATATTTTGAGTTCAACTTCAATAATGAACTCAAAATATTGTCTGGGTGATGGCGCAAGCCAAGACGAAGCGTTGGGAAAATAGTGCCCACCCGTAGATAAAACTGAACACTGGTCGTGGATTTATCCACAAGTGGCTAGCCTCGTGGAGTTTTCTGGGGTTTTCTCGCGTGTCTAGCACCTAAATAAGGTCCACTTCCCATAGAAAGCACTCCCAAAAAGGGCAGATCGTCCAAGTACGCAATGCCTTATCCCATCCATCCTATCCTATGCTATCCTATTAAAAAATTAACTTTCCCGGCAATATTTGGTGGCGCCATCTGTTATCGTAATTTATTAAAAACTGTTTTTAACTACAGTAATACCTCGGTTTTCATTGACTTCGGTTATCGTCGGTTTCGGTTTTCGTCGAATTTTTCCACGAAAAATTTGTCTCGTTTTCGTTGGTTGCCTCGGATTTCGTCCGCGGGTCCACATGACCTCGCTGCTAATTTTGCGAAAACAGAGGGCGATCCAAGCGTTTTCCTGCTCAGTGTGCGTTGTTTCTTGCTGTGTGAGCATTACCCCGCGCATCTAGCAAACAATTCCATTGCTTTCCTTTCCTTTTAGCTCCATCGTGGGGCCGAAAAAAGTTTCCAGAGCCAGCAGCCCTTCGAAGGAGGTCAGGAACACGATCGAGTTGAAGGAAATCATTGAAAAATACTAGAGCGGCGTTAAGATTGCTGAAATCGCCATCCAGGATAAGTGCCATTATGGTGAAAAAGGAAGTAATAAAGGAGGGTGATGTAGCGAAAGGCGTGAATGTTCTAACGAAACAGAGATCGCAAATAATTGAAGATGCCGAACAGTTATTAATTTGGATAAATCAAAATCAGTTAGTGATTCTGTTACCGAAGCCATCATATTAGTCTTTTATATTCATTTCTTATTGTTTTTAGTATTAAACACTATATTTATTCTCTATAAAATGTGTTTTTGGTATGTATTTTGGAGTGTCTAGAACGAATTAATTGGATTTACATTGATTCATATGGAAATAATTGCCTTGATTTTCGTCGGTTTCGGATTTCACCAATTATTTCGGACGGATTATCAATGAAAACCGAGGTATCGCTATATTATAAAATGCAAAAAGCTTCGTTTTGAAGGTAGGGATGAGTTTATAAAAAATTGTAAATTTGTAAATGGTAATAACGAGTAAAATAAAAAGTCATTAAGTCTGACCATACTCGAGATACATACGTTCCCTTCTATCTCCCTACCCCTCGACCTTTAATTACCAAAATTTAATAAATCAATTCTCTTAATACACAAACCTCCCTACAAAATTTCAAAAAATTTTCGACAAAAAGCACAGGAGTTATTAAGCTTCAAACAGGATGAACAAATCGTGCCCACCCACACACATACATTCATACATACACAATAACTTCCATACATAAAAAAAACCCGATTTTTTTTCTTTGCATTTCTCGACATTTCAAGGTGTCCTTCCCGAGTCCAAAAATGTAAAAATGTTGGGCATCATTTTTTTTTTTTTTTGACCGATCGGAACACTATCGGATTAAGGAGATTAAATTTAGCGTAAGCTTGCACGACTTGACAACAATACCGGTAATATTCGGAGTCGACTGGTGTCGGATTACTGGATGCGTAGAAGTATCGAACTGCCGGATTATCAAGATTGTGCTGTACGTACAAGTGTAAACGCGCGGCCATCCGAAAGTGCAAATTTTTCGCGATGATGTGCCATATCCTTAACAATATCCTTAAAGCTTAAATTCTTTATTTGGCGCTGCTTAAACTTTTCAGTGCCAAGGAAAATTAACCTCTTACTTTCCCGGCTGTTACATAACAAGTGAAAGTAATGAAATCGTGTCAAATTTGACTCACCAAGTTGTCCAAATCTTACATTTTGAGACCTCTCAACCCAAAAAAGTTAAAAACACGGCAAAAAAATTTTATGGATATGTATGTATGTATGTGTTTGTGTTTGTTGGCGTCTGTTTCGCTTAATATCTCAGGATAAAGAAACGAAATATGGCACGGTAGCTCGTATATAAGGGGCATTGAAACTATTAAATTTTGGTTGTAAAAGGTCAAGGGGATGGAGATAGAAGATAGTCACGTGATATATCTCGCGAAAAGTCGGACATAGATTTTACTTGTTAGCATTTATAGTGTTTTATAAAACTTATCTCTACCCTCAAAATTAAGTCTTTATATATTTTTAATTATTATAAAACAGCAAAAGTTTTTATAAATCTTATAACTAAAATTGTATGTGGTGCCATTTATTTTGATGAATAAAACAAATGTTATTTTTAAAATCTTATAAAAGCCAGAAAAGTTACGCAACTCGTTGCTAGATTTTTCACTTCATAAGAAACAGATTTTCGTAGCTTAATTTATTTTAAATTCAAATAATCCGTAAGTCCGTAGAGAATATTTGAATTTAAAATAAATTCTGCAAAATAAAAAATCATATTATCTCCTAATGAAAAGTTTTACATAAGTTTAATTTTTTTCTCAATTCTGAGGATTTGCAGTTTTGCTACACGTATGGTTGACGAAATTTCTTGTCGGTATTATTGCATCGTTTGATTATTCATAGTATAATTATGTCCTATTGTATTTATAATTTTTCAGCTGCATTTATCCACAAGATATTTAAGCTATTTCTATAAATTGAAGACATTGTACTAATTTAATAATATAGCCCGCCAGATAAATTTTTAATGACTAGAATATCGCATCTCCTGAACATGAACCGAAATCCTCACGATACTATTTACAATAAAAAAAATTGTGTAAATATTTCAATGTATTTAGATTAAATTATCATGGGTTTCTTTCTCGCATTTACTTCTATATTATCACTTGCGAGATAGATGTGAAACCGTATAAAAATGATCTTTAGAGACTTGTGTTTTTCAAAGAGAAATCAAAAACTTTTAATGAACAATTTTCACTCGAATTTTTCTATGTATTCACGTATTTATATTGTGATTTATCTTATTTTTTAGTGTAATAATTACAACAAAAATAGACAGTATAAAATACAATATTTATTCAATAAAATTTTGATTAATTAACGTTTTCTGTTAAAAATACACACAGAATTTTCAAATTGTAATCGTCATAAAGAGTAATTCCAGAAGGGAAAATGTAAATATTTTAATTAAATCAAATTTTAAATATTTTATAACACTATTCTATCATTCAATATATATCTAATTACATTTTCGAAAATATTATTAACTAAAATTATAAATAATATTATGTATCTTCGTCTGGATTAATATTTTTGATTAAAATCGGTTGAAAATGTGAAGTTTTTCTATTAACAGACACGTTTATTAAAGCCGAAAGAATGATCTAAATACATTATAATTTCGGCAGCCATCAAAAATTGCACTTAATCACAATTTAATTAATATGTAAGCAACTTACTGTACGTAACCTTTTAATTTCGGTCTTAATCATTCTTTTTAATAATCCTGTCATTACAAAATATGTGATTTGTAGTAAAATTTCAGCAATTTTTTCATAATTATAATGTAAAAAAAATGCATCATCACACTGGTGCAAATTATTTCTGAGCTACTTTATCTAAAAAAATAACAAAAACGTAGTTTTTCTAATAATGTCAGTTATAAACCAATAAAATTTAATAATTTAAAGTCAAATATTTTCTTTCTATTCATACAAATGTTTAAATTGTAAAAGATTTTCCAATTGAGAAAACACTTTTTGAGGTTTGCTTTTGAAAGACTACATCATTGGAGTTTTTTCGAAATTTTTCTAAGTTTATTTTTTGAAGAAAAATGAAAAATAATTCTCCATATGCACCGACAATTGTTATTTTAGAAAAAAATTATATATAAAATTTTCCTATATTTCTCAGATATTATATAGAAGTTTAACCTTACATCAGCCTTGAAGACTCAATTTCTGATTATGGAAATTCAGATAGGACCTATCCGAATTTTCTATTTAAGAAACATTTCATAGATATTTTGTATATTAAAATGTTAAAAAAAATTATGTATAGGAAAGGTGAATATAAACGTTTAAAACTTATCAAATGGAACGAAATGATTTATTATTACAAAAAATTAAAATTTCGAAAAGACATTTTAGCATTATTTAGTGTTTGAAAAAAAGCATAAAATGAATTTTTCTTTGAAAAACGGCCTTTACTCGTCTAAAATTCTCATTGAATGAATATAGAGTATACCTCTCTTCACGGATATATTATCAAATTTCAATAATATATTGCACAAAAAGTTATAAATTACTTAAGATTCCTGAAGTATTTTCTTCTCACAATTCTTTTTACCTACAAATTCAGAATTTTTAACTTTGAAAATTTGTTTGTTCAATCTTTGCAGAATAGTCCTAGTAAAATTGCTTTTTAAAATAACAGTTTAGTGACCACTAAAAGTTGGTGATTTAAACATTAATCATAAAAGTAGTAATCAAGTCAGAGCTTCAAATTTCTTTAAAATAATTTCAATATTAAACAATTTAAAAACATACCTAAAATCCAATAAATATATTATAGAAAATATTTAATTAATTTTGTACATTTTCAATTTTTCAGCAAAAGATATGAAAATTCTTACATTATTTGTGGTTAAAATTAATTTTAAACTTTAACGTTTTTATCTGAAATGATTTTCTAGATATTAAATTAATACACACGGACAAATGGACGGTCAAAGTTCTAATATAATCTCATTCTTAGCAATTTAAAGTGAAAGGTTTAATGCATTTTACGTGCATCTAAATAAAAAAGTTTCTAAATTGATACGTGATGTATTACATGAAATATATTTTTTTAAAATGCTGAATCAATAGCATTGAAAATAATCTATATGAGGTAAATTTTATTATGTGACAGAACATCGAATTATAGAAAAAGATTTTTCTTTTGATTCAAATTTACTAACACGATAGGGTAGATTTTTCAACAATTTAACTGATGACATGTTTTAACAATAAATGCATTCTCAAAGCGAGAAATTAAGGCATAGTTTTCTTATGGCATGCGAATTGGAGTGTTAGGAGGTTTTCCTTCTATGACGTTAATAATATTTTCAGCTGCCATGGTGGCCATCTTAATCCTAGCAGACATCTCTGCGCTTCCAACATGTGGAGTAACAACTATAAACACAGGCATGGAATAACTTAGGTTTTGTTTTACAAGTTAGTGATTTTAGAAAATTTCCGGATAACACTTACTTAGGTTCGGTAGAGTCAATAATTTATGATCCGAAGGTAGAGGTTCTGGTACAGTTACATCGATTCCGGCAGCTCTGATTTTTCCGTTCTTTAATGCATCGTATAAATCATCTTGATGTACTACACCTCCCCTATAAAAACGGAACAGATGTTAAAGTAAAAGGAAGGAAAAAATATCTCAAAAAGCAATATAATCATTGGTACCTGCTAGTATTGATGAAAACTGCCGTAGGTTTCATTAAACCGAAGGCTTTGGCATTGAACATCTCTTTTGTTTCATCGGAAAGATTGCACATTGCAACGACGAAATCGGACTGTTTCAATAATTCTTCTACAGTAACATATTGCGCTCCCATATCCTCGGCTACAAAATACTTTCCAGTTTATTAAAAAGAACTAATAAATTAATGTCAGTCGTTGCAAAAAATTTTGTACCTGGTTTAATTGGATGAAAGACGTCGTAGTATAATACCTTTTTAACACCAAAAGGCAAAAGCCTCTTCATCACAGCTTGTCCTAATAAATTACAAAAGAAAATTGCGCTTCAACATGAGTAATTCTCATGAGTTCAATGCTTGAACTCGTGGGAAAAGCTTACCTATTCTTCCCATTCCAACAATGCCTACAACTGAATCAGTCAAGCCTTGTCCACACAACCAAACAGGACTCCAAGCATAAATCCATTCTCCCCTGTAGATAATATATATTTTTAAATTTAAATCTTATAGAAACAAATATTTTCATCTTTCACTTATAGAATACTTTTTGATTGCAGAAGCGGCATCCATCAGTCTTCTTCCAGAAGCCAACAAAAGTGTAACTGTCATTTCTGCTACGGAGTCGGTAGAAACATCGGGAGTGTTGGTAACGTGAATATTTCTATTAAAAAATATATTTTTCGTTTGTTATATATATTTTTTTCGGACTATAAATCGATAAATATCCAATTATTATTTTTATTATGATTTCTAAGCCAAAAATATGTACCTATTTTTACATTCTTGGATATCAATATGGTCGTAACCCACGGACATCGTTGCAATTATCTTCAGCTGAGGTCCTAATTGAAGCATTTTAAAAAGTTATACATTGCTTTAATATTTATGCATTAAATCAATGATTCTAAATTATCATCAAAATAATAAAAGTTATATACTGTAATTTATATTATTTCCGAAATCATAATTCTATCTTATGGATCGTTAAAAGGAGAGAGCAATGACAGACTGTAGACGGTATCGATTTCTTCTGTTGACTATCCGCTGACGTTACTTAATACTAAGTACTTAGATAAGTTGGATAAATACATTTTTTTTTCTTTTTTAAAAACTTTCTACCTTAATCTATACTTTCGAATATTTATAATATATTATACAATTTTATAACGTTTAAAATTAGTTTTGTTTTTATGGGTGAATGATTTTCAATTAAACAATACGTCTAGACTCACCGGCAGTTTCAATTACTTCTTTATCAACCTTGTCAGTAAGAAGACAATATAAGGCATCTACACCTTTCACTCCTTTCAATAAGGCTTCATGGGTGATGGGTGCGTGTTGATCGTAGATTTCTACGTCATATCTGAACATTTAAAACAGAAAACAATGAACCTTTTAATGAATTTCATGACCATAAATTCTTTTAATTACATAATGGCTTGATTTTATTAATGTCCTGTGTATTTTGCAAAGAAACAATAGTGTATACTCAATACAAAAAGCCACGTCTCTTTAAAATATACGAAATGCCATATTCATCACCCGTGTAAGAATATTTTACATACTTTAGAAGGCCTCAAATATTATCGATACGGAATGCACATATGACCTAACTGAAATAGAAAAATTGGTTAATTGAAGACGATAAAGAGGTGACTTTAAATCAGTGGCAAGGTTATAACACTCAAGGTTGTTCTAGGGAAGGACGTGCAATTGGCACAGGCTACAAAACGTTTAGTCTATTCAAGGTTGTAAACTTCTTAACAGATAACACTTGAAAAATGTTCATATTTTACAATAAAATAGTGACCCGTTTTTAGTACTTATAAACTATTATCGCATCCGTGATTAATTTTATAAACTTTAGAAGTTCGAGTCTGACAGATGTTCATAGACAAACTGATAATGGCAACGACCGTGACATTATGATGTACCGTACTAAAGGTTGTAAATTAGCGTTATTTTTCTAAGATAATACTTCAGACTTTAAACCGTCCTTTATATCGACAAAACCAATCCGTCTGAAGATTAAAATAAACAAATAATAAATTTATAAATATTAATAAAATTTTTCATTATCATTAATTTTATAAAATAATTAAATACTATTTTTATCTCCATTAAATAATTTTATAGAATTATAAATTAGATAATAAACAGTACACTCCCCTCTCATGTACGATTGCAAATTTACTGAGAAAACATTGTAAAGCGAAAAGTATTTCCTCTGCAATTGTATTTCTGACATACACAATGCCATAAATTATGCTATTGCATCAGAACAGGAAGTTTAGAATTTTTCAGTGAGGTAATGAACTGCATTAAAAATTTCCTGAAGACACAAAACAGGAAATTTGAAATATTTTAAACCCAAACTTAAAATTTTTATATTTATTCATTTATTTAAAAAAACTCAAGTTAAATGATTTAGAATAATTTATTAAACTTCAACTTATATTTAAATGGTATGTTAATTAATATATTTATAAATAAAATCTTTTTGAACTGTAAAAATATATATTAAAGCATACATTTTCAAAAAATGTGTGTGTTTTAATGTATATTTTTACATCTTCACAAGTCTGTATATATACGTAAAATAATAAACATTAAAACTTTTAATGTTTATTATTATATGTTTACTAGTTTTGGACAGGTTTATATAATAAGTATATAAACCTGTCCAAAACGGAACCTGCCAAATCGGAAAAAATATTCGGTACCGTGCGATTCCAGCTTACACAGGTTTTAAGGTATGTAATAAACATTAAAAATTTTTCACTTTAAAATGTAAAATATAAATTACTAATAATATACTCGTACCAGCAAAATATTACGTATAACAAACGTTATTAACCTATATAATATAAAACGTTTCGACTTAAGCATCGAGTTGATCACGTGGCATTTTTTACGTCAGACGCCCTCATAAAATTTATAAAACGTTTTAAAACACGGAAACGTTTTTAAAATATATGTATATTTTAATAACAAAGTAAATTTAAAAGATCAATTAATGAATGAAACGGAGGAAATGATGGAGGGGAAAGGATAACGGGGAGTAACGGTCTGATCCAAATTCTGTTCTCAGACAGTCTGCCTTTTCACCTTCACTTGACCTTCATTTGACCTTTGCTTTTCCGGGGTGATCTTCCCTGCCCGTTTAAAATCGCTCATTTCTCCTTTCGGTTTTGCATTCTTTCTCAACAAATTAATCATTTTATCCATTTGCCAATATCGATATTGTTAAGACATCGTCCGTTTTGATAGCTTCGCCTTGGCTTTCTCGCCTCCACGTGGTGATTTTTTTTTGTAATAAAATTGACATTTAAATGTCAAAATTCGATACGATAATGTAAAAAAATCTTACTTTGCTTTAAGTAGATCGATCCCTTCTTTGGGGACGTCGGGTCTTGTGACGAAAACTTTTGGCTTGCTCATGATTCTCGTTTCTCTCTCTAAATGAGCGCGCTAAATGGAACGAGAGTTTTAAATGCACTTTTATACGTCTCGTGCAAACGCCTTATGACGTAATGTCAGACTGTTTCCGTGACAACCGGTAGTTTTCGGCGCGGAAGCTTAAGATGGCGATTGTTACGCCTTTGCGGTCGAAACTAACGTAAAAATATGGCGATTATTTTAATGGTTTTAAATGCTTATAAATAAATTCGTGTACGTTCTATAAATTTTAAAATTATTTAAATTTTATTTTATATCGTAATACAGTTCTGTGCTATTTTTAAAATACAGTAGAATGGTGTTATCTGTTGAATTGTTTTACATCTTTACCGCTGTAAATTCCATAACTTAAATTTAAACGCAATAAAACTGAAATACACTTAAATTTATTGTACTCTTACATTTAATTTCCGAGGAAAAATATAAAATTCTTCATATTATAATTTCTTAGTTAACGAAAGACGTCATAAAACAATATAATCGCGGTTTCGATAAATGTAATTGTACGTAATCGTTGAAGATTAAAAATTTAAAAATAGTTATTATGACGTTTGTGCACGCAATTATGCATATTAACGTTATGCTTGATAAAATACAATAATTACGTATGCACCGTAAAGTATTTTACATTATATTTTTATTCGTGAAAACTGTTAACTAGCGTAATAATTAAATATAATTCATTAATAATCGAACGAATTTACATTAAGCATGAATTTGAACTTATAAAAGTTAATTTTAGCATTAGTTACTTGGGAAATATTTTTAAATTTCAAAATATTTGTTTTGAAATTTAATGAGATAGCAGTTTTAATAGAAAAAATATTTTTGTTTTTTTATTATTCCGCCCTGTGAGCACCGAGAGACCCTTTCGTGGGTTCGACTAGGCTCAGCATGGGGTTTCCGGGTGGTGAGGGACGGGGCCCGACGTACAGTACCACATCCGAAAAATTCTCTAGGTTGCTTGCCCGATTCGATCTCGGATCACCTAGTGCAGGGTGACGAATCTATGGCACGCGTGCCCAAAATGGCATCGTAAGGAGAAATCATCTGGCACGTAACATATCATACAATTTCGATTTATCATCTGTCCTTTTCAATCATCCTTTCGGTTTTTCATCCGATCATCCTTTTTTCAGCCAGCCTTTTTACACTTATTCTAATTAAAGCATATCGTTTAATTTCTTTAAATATCGTTATTCGAAGTCTAAAAATTTGGCACGCATAAACAACTTTAAAGCTTACTATATGGCACCATCTGGAAGACCATCTGGCTCGCAGTTTTATACAATTATTTGATATGAATTATAAATTCATAAATACTATATTTAATGAGATCGTGCAGTTACTTAAAGATAAGAACATTTTTCAAGGAATTTTATCATTTTCTTTAGATAATAAAGTTTTACGATATCATTTGGTAAAACTTTGAACTTTTTTTTTAAAAATATTTAATCGAAAGATTAATAAAATTATAATATTAAAAATATCAACATTTTGTAAGAAAAATATTCTCTCCTCACAAAAAATAATCCATTTTTATTTACTTCAATAAAAATTAATTTAATTCGAAATTAAAAAAGCCCTTTCAGTTTATTTTTTTAATTTTAATGACATTATAAATCTTCAAAATAAACATCTTGAAAATAGTATTATATAATTAATGATAATATATCTAGATACGATTTAATTTATAAAGTATTCTAAATTGTTTTCATTGTTATAGATTCCTTTTGTTTTTCAACAATCTGAAATTTTATAATACTTAACAACGAAAGGTGCCAGAGAATTCTGTTAGCTTGAGTTCAGTTTGTCTATCATCTTGATATTATTAAAATAATGGCATTCCGACTCGTGTTCACTTTAAATCTCGTCTGGTTTCTGCTTCCTGGAATCACCACCTGTCCAAATTCTTTAGCGCAATACACGAAAAATGGAGGATGTAACAATCTTCGATTAATTACGAACAGGGAAGAAATGTGTTTTCCGGGAGACAAACCAGAAAGTGAATCGGATGATAGATTTATTAATGAATATTACTGGGATGACATAAAGAACTGGGATGATTTTCAGTTAGAGGAAATTTTCACATCTCAGAATAATTTGGAAGATGGAAAAATGAACGAGCTTCCTACTCTCATAAGTGATTCTAGTTTTTCGGAATGCACTTTCTATTCCGCAAATGAATGCAATTCGACAGTTTCAAATTTTTTACAGCAAAAGTTGTGTAGACCGTTTCTCAGTATTAACGCATTCTTTATGCTTTTAGTTCTGGCAAAAATGATCTTTTTATCTATTTTAATGGAAAATTTTAATTTCGAATTGTTTGAAAACTTTGCAGATGATTATCAAGTTAACAGTATCGAAAATAATTACGCCGTCATTCGGCGACCAAGTTCAAACAATAATAGTGGAAATGATTTAAATTCAAATGAAGTAGAGAAAATTCAACACAAAGAAAAACATAAGAAACGAAAGCACAAGAAAAGAAAAATCTTGAAAAGTTTTCGATCGAAGAAAGCTTATGGCTTGAAAAATCACAGATCATTTTTCGGTCGTTTGTCTCGTATCTCTAAGAAAAATTACTCTCATATCATCATAAACAAACGTGATAAAATCAAGGATCAAAATAACATAAAAGAAACGGGGGACAACAAAATGGATAAAAGAGAAACTAAAGCACAGAATATATCCGAAAATAATCTTCCATCAGAACTCGATTTAGATTCTTTCGAAATCATCAAGCTTGATCAAATTTAAATATTTTATTAAAAAGGTCTTCAAAATTATTACTTTTAATTCTTTAAAAATCATTATAAATTCAAAATATAAAGTAATAAATAAATTCTCTTCAGGAAATTACATTGGTCGTTTGTTTGCTTAACCGTTTATTTTTATTGTTCTAACTGAAATTTTTCAAGTGAAATTGTTGTAATAAAAATAAATATTCGAATTCATGATTAAATTTGTCATGTATATTTATAAATTAATACTTTAACGTTTATTAGATCAATAACTGCATATAATATATTTTATTAATTAAAGTTACGAAAATGTGAAGTAATTTATGTTCAATATAGTCGTATACTGAAAATAGGAGTCGTATACTGTATATACAGTACTTCTATGACGAAAACTAAATACATACACACTGTGTTTGGAATTATGGTAAATGCATAAAATTTTATTTTACATGACTTAATTATAATTTTCAATCGAGTGAAAATTTTGTATTCTTTTGATTAACAAGTTACAAAGGTCAATCTCTATGTGCACCGTCATGGCCGCACAGTGAGGACCCACGTTCTAACCTAACCTAACCTATTCTAATAAATTACCAAATTAATTTGATAATTTATTAGACTAGGTTCGGTTAGGTTAGAACATGGGTCCTCACTATGCGGCCATGACGGTGCATATAGGTAAAGATTAACCGTCACAAATTTCACATGTTATTCTAAAGCCTATACATTGTGATGCAAAGCAAGACAATGATACAAAACTATAAACATACCACAAACTTAACTAATTCACCTCAATAGAAAACTGCTTTTATATAAACGATAGCAATGGACGAGTCCAAGTAGACGCTCGTCACGTGTTTTCTACTTATTAATTTAAAAATTAAAAAGCGTCACCTGGTGTCGAAAGTGTAAGAATTTCTCACCTGTATTATAGTCGAAGATGCCAACACACGAAAATAAAAAAGTAAGTAAATAAAAGTCACGGTTTTGTAATAAAAACGCATTAGAAATAAAATAAAGGATAAAATGTGAATTATATAATAACAGAAGTCCAAAATACAAAATAGGAAATCGACTAATTTGGAAGCACGTGGAACACATTAAAATATGTTAATTGCTATAGACAATTTTTCATTTATTTATAAATTTACAGAAAGTTTCTCGCTCAAAATATTGTTTTTAACTCCAAAAATCACAAATTTTCTTCTCCACAATTACCATTTAAATAATATATTACATTACATTCACTTCCTTGTTTTTTTTTTACTATAATCAAGCAGTTATACAAATTAATTGTTTTTTTTAGTAAAAAAACATCATTATAATTACACAAGTGGACTTTTTTAATAATAAAAAAACAAATGCTAAACTTAATTAATGTGAAAGCAATTCAAAGTTTTTTAAAAATATATAACAAAAACAAGAAACTACTTTACATTTAAACACCTTGATTTAAAATGTATGGGAAAGAGCATATTAGTTATTATCTATTTCACATGATTATGTTTTTAATTTAAAATTATTTATTTATTTATTTAAAGAATTTGGTTTAAAATTCATTGAAAAACAATTTGAAAATTGGACACATATGGAAGTAAGCTGATATATAGAACAGCAAAAACAAGAAGAAAAAAAATATCAGATTTGTTGAAAAATTATTTTGCTTTAACAGGATTTCCTGCAGAATTATAGTTTAATTTTGATAAAATATGAAATTAATTAAGTGTTTGGAATTTTAGATAAGTTTTGCTGGTAATCTTGGTGTAAAGTAGAACTATTTCTGTATTTGTGTTATCACTATACAAACTATACTTAATGATTTTGTTTAAAAACTGCATTGGTTAAATAGTTTACAGTATTAAATTGTAATGAGTGATTTTGTTTTCTGACTAAAATATGAAATCAAATTATAAGGTAAGTCACTTTTTAACTGTGTAATTAGAATTTCTTTCTTTTAATCATTTAAAAAGATGTGACAAATAATTAATTTTACTTAAAACTAATTTTATTATGTGCACATTCTACAATAAATTTTTATGAATGCTTTTTTAGTAAATTTGTACTGTAAGAGAGATAAAATTGATTTATTAAAATTATAAGTGAAAAAAAGAAAAAAGTTAAATGTGTATCACACATATTTTTGTATTTTAGTTTTGCTTTTCAATTATTGTTAATTTTTAATCATTTTTGCTTGTTGATAATTTTAATAAATCAATTTTATGTAGATGTTTGATGATGCTTTAATCAATGATTTATTACATAATTTATAAATTAAAATTAATATATATGTGCACATATATATTTTTATTTTGCTGATGTATTGTATCATGCAGTACTCTCTAAAAGGAAAGAACATTAACAAATGAGAATTTAATGGTAATTTGTGTTGGAAATATACAAACTTTAGGTAAAATTTAAACCTCAAACATTAAAGTATCAACATTTAAAAGTTAGAAGGAGTTTTTACATATCTTATCCAAATTTTCTGCTTTAATATACCCATTATATGTTATTTCATTATTAGATTTATTATTAATACCAATCTCCTTTTCTCTATACCATATTAAAATAAAAATTAAATTTGCTAGCTGCACATTTTATTTTTTATATTAGTTTTGATAATTATTTTTATTATTATAATACTTTATTAGTTTACTATATATGTTTATATAAATTAATTATTATATTAATATTTAATAAATATATAAATGAAATCAAAATATGAAATTTAAAAACTCTTTTTGAGGTAATATCTTCATTCCTTTTGCCGTGTGGGCATTAAGAGGAATGAGATAATTTTAAGGAGTTAACTGAGTATGTGAAGATTTTTTATAGAACATTAGATAAACTTATCTTCATAAAACTGTAAACATTGGATAAAACCTAACTAATCTGGTATTTTTAATAGAGATATAATGTTTATAAATTTAATATTTTTATCCAAGAAGATATGAATCAACAGTTCAGTATGTAAACAGTTTTTTTTTCTTTTTTTAAATCATAAAATTTGTAAAAAAAAATATAATCTTAAAAATCTTTGCAAAATTCATTAGAAATCAATTAGATGACGGATGAATCCAAATTTCTTCAGCTTTAATAGTAAATTTCTTTCTAGATAAAAAAATTATTGTATTACTTTTAAATAAGGGCACAATAACAGTAAATTGTTTTATCTGTGAAACTTTGTTATTTATTATTTTTATGATCCAAGTTCAATTTACTTTGAGCAAAGAACTTCTCTTGAATATTGCGTATTATAAGAATATTTGCATACATTGCACTCTTCTGTTTTCTGATTCTCTAAGAACCTCATCAATTAGAGATTTTTCTATTATTTTAGAAGATCTTAATAATGACTTTTTTTTTATTCTGGCATTGATCAAGAATAATCAACTGAAGCACTGTGACTTCTTTATGTCCAGTTTCATTTTTATCAGTCTTTTGTTCCATAGATTTTCATCTAGAACAGTTTTCTCTTTTAACAAATAATGAACTGAATTAGAGATTAAAAAATTATCAATTTTTTATTAAATATATACTGAGTGGCCAAAAAATTAGACACACCCTTTAATAACAAGTTGGTCCTTCTTTAGCTCTGATCACAGCTGATATTGTTCTTGGCATGGACTCAACAAGTTGCTGATTTTGTTGCTGAGGAATATTGGCCCATGCTGACATAATGGCAGCTCTAACTTGGGTCAGATTGGATGGTGGCATTTCCAAGTTTTGAAGTGATCTTTTGACTTCATCCCACAAATGCTCCATAGCATTGAAGTCAGGGGACTGAGCTGGCCATGGAAGCAGGTTAAACTCTGATGTTCCTTAAAATAAATTTGAGACCAATCAAGCATGGTGGCAAGGTGCATGTTCCCTCTGAAAGTGAACATCTCCATCAGCAAACATTATAGCCATAAATGAATGTATGTGATTGGCAACAATGTTCAGGTAAGCTGTGCTATTCATAGATGTGTCCACAAATATCAATGGACCCAGTGTATTCCAGGAAAACATTCCCCACACCATAATTCCACTGCCACCAGCCTGAAGAGTTGTCATTTGGCAGGAGGGACTCTATGAATTCTATGCTGTTTGCACCATATTCTGATCCTGCCATCTGCGCGATGAAACAGGAAACGAGATTCATCAGACCAGGCTACTTTTTTCCAGTCCTCAAGTGATCAATTTCATCGTTCCTGGGCCCACAACAAACACCTTTTTCTATTTTTCTGTGATAACCAAAGGCACTGCACTCTTGATGGTCTCCTACTGCTAAAGCCATTCCTTTGCAAAGTCTGTCTTGTTGTGATTGGGATATGCTTTGTGATGCACCTGCATTGAATTCAGCTGTAAATTTCATGTTGTTGCAGAATTGCCTTTCACCTCTCTCGTTCACCAGTCTTTTTCAACCAGAATTGTTCTTATTGCTTAAGGTTTCTTTTCTCAACTGCCACTCTCTAAACACCAGAGATACTGTTGGGTGAGAAAAATCCTAAAAGAGTCATTGTTTCAGAGATACTGGCACCAGCCCTTTTTGCACAGACGATCATCCTGCATTCAAAGTCACTTAAATCTCTCGTCTTACCCATTTTGACATTAACTTCCGTGATAACTACATTATCCGAAGCTGAGCGTTCCTTATATAAGCGACTCTGCATTGTTACATCACTCTATGTCACTGTTGGACTGGTTTACTTTCAAATAAGGGGTGTGTGTAATTTTTTGGCCACTCAGTGTACATACATTAATTTTATTCATAAACAAAAATTTGATTTTAGGAAGTAAGACTTTAACAAAAAATGGATAAATAATTTTAATCACAGTTATTTTTTACAGCAAATGAATATTTTTTTCTAAGTGTTAATATCATTTTTTAAAATTATAGTACTTTCATTAGTTAGTTAAATTTATACTTTTTAAGTAGATAGTTTTAATGTTTTACATAGATATAAAAAGAAATTATTTTTATATATTGTGTTTCTACAAGGATAAAAAATGAAAAACATCATCAATAGATATATATTTAAGTAGTAACATTAAATAATCACATTTAATCAAAATCAGTTTGTTTACCAAATTATTAATATTAATTGTTTGTATTCTTAGTAATTTATGGTTTTTAATTTTACCCTTTTCCATGCATAAGTAATACATTTTTATATTGTTTTATATTATGTTTTAGTTTGACAGTTTTTCAAAAACTTTTGACAAATATATTTTTTGTGGAAAAAATTCAGTTTAATTAAAAATTAATCCCTAAAGTAATTTAAAGTTAATTTTTCGTAGTAAATAATTACTTTTCCTTTAAATATTACATTTAATAGACTTTAGTGAAATATTTAATGTACATTTTAGTTTAGAAATTATAAGTAGAATTACTGTAATTAATATGTAAAGACAAGAACAAGATTAAAAGTATAAGAAAGACATATTTTGTTGTAAATATGTCTTTGCCATTTTAAAATCTTTTATGTTCATATTTTAAGTGTTGTTATTATTTTTTAAAAATATTTATATTTAATATTTAAAAAATCTGTCAAAACTTTTTGAAAAAATGTCAAAACAAAAACATAATATAAAAATAATATAGAAATTTATCACTTCTTGCATGGAAAAGGCTTTTCTTTCATTTAATATGGCATCTAAAATTTATATTAATAAATAAATATCAAAATATCATTTTTTTTATTTATAGTTCATTATAATTGATTCCATTATTTATCTCAAGTTAAGATTTATAGATTTTCATTGAATATTTTATTGTGGATTTTATTTATATCAAATAGCAATATATCAAACTTTATTTTTTTATTGTTTGTTTAATTATTCTTGTAGAAAGTTTTATTAAATATATATGTAATTTGAAACTAACACAAAATTATTTTGGCATTATGAGTAGGTTCTTAAACCACAGGAATATAATGCAAGAGGAATCTTCTTTTCTTTACAGGCTCTTGTCTATCAAATCATATCTTTATTAATGCATTAGGGGTTTTTCTTTTATAGAGAGTATACATAATATTCTTTATATATATTTAATTAATTAATTTAACAATAGAACTTATGATTGTTAATATCTTTTACCATCACATTTCTTTTAATACTTTCATTGAATTAATAAATATATATATATATATATATATATATATAATTTAGTTATTAACTGAACAATAATAATATTTAAATCATCCTATAAAATTCTCTCAAGGAGGAATAATAACTCAAGAACATTAGAACATATTTTTGTCTTAGATTCTGATATTTAGTATAGATACAGAATAAATGAAAAAAAAACTAACATCTGTTCACAGCACCAATGTAAGCATTTATCCATTCACAAAAACCTCTTCATTATTTGGCAAGTAGAAGCTGTTTAGTCTCAACTGTATAACAAATTTCTTCATCTTGAATAGAATTTGAAAATACCTACAGGTAATAGTTGAAGGGAAAGAAATTATACCTTGATATCATATTTAGTAAGTAGACTTATTCAGTCATTTTTTTTCTTGTGTCATCATATTAACCACATTATCCATTAAATTTTGATTTCCACATTTCTGATCCTCAATTGACAATGAAAATATAATTGGTGATATACCATAAGTAGCTGACATTGCTGAGAAATTATTATACCAATTGTTTTTATAATTATTCTTGCTTAGCCAGTATTTCTAGCTTGTCTATTGTAATGATTTCTGAGTTATGCCATTTTATCTATTTGTAACATTTGACAATTTGTGAAACTAAATACGGTTATAATTTTGTTCTGTTTAACTCAGCCTCATTGCCAAATTAAACAATTTTTAAAAATATAACTTGAATCATTTCTATTCTACTTATCCATTCTATTCCCCAAATAGAGCATGCAGCAGCATTCATCACTACAGAATTAAATAATGTATAATGGATTCAAATTTTATTTATTTTTAATTTAACCATTAAAAAAATTAGGTGATTTATGATTTTCAAAGTTTTTGCCCTTTGCCCTTGAAAATGTTTTGAAAATGTTAGCATTGAAGTTAAAATTATAACAAATTATGAGAATTTGTTTTCTATTCTTAATCTCATATTCTTTAAATAAAAGTTAGATTCTTTTTAGACAAAGTTTCACCATTATGAAAAATCATGATCTTAGTCCTCTCTACAATAATTTTTATATTTATTCTTTCAAAATATGGATTTGCCAAGATAAATTTTCTCTGTAAACCAGCCTTCAAGGGCAATATCAATACCACATCAGCTGCATATTAAACTGAATGCACAATTTTATCTTCCACAAGGATTCTATCCTCTTTTATCTCAAATATTTTGTCAAAACCAAGAATCATAAAATTGAACAAATAGGAAGATAATGAATTTCCCTGTAGCAGAGAGGGACTTGTTTTGAACCTTAAAAGATTGGTATTGAAATCTCCTATATCTTAATGTTATTTTATAGAATTCAAACAATTAACTAATTACATTAATAAACCTGACAAAATTCTTATAATCTTTTAATTTTAAATAAAGTTTCTCAATAGAAATGAAACCAAATGCCTTTTTGTAAATCCAAAAATGCTGCATTGACCTTTCATCATTTTCCAGATAATTATATCTGAATCAAAGATGTTAATACAAAAATGGCCAATTCAGTCCACTACAGGCTCTTATCTGTCTAAAAAATATGTAAATTGCTTTGGTAAGTGCTTCTGGTTCAACTTATAAACGTTTGAAAGTAATTCTTTATCTTAGGTTTTTGTTGTTTTTTATTAATTGTTTATTATTTAAATTTTAGAATTTATTCAACATTATATAATTTAATGTTCAGAATGATTTAGAGCTTATAAAGAGTTGATTAATCAGAAATTTAAAATATATTCAGGGCATAGGCAGAATTTTTTGGTGAGAACGGTTTGAGTACTGAGATAACACTTAGCTAAAAATGCTTAAATAAACTTTATTAAATATGAAGATTAATCTACAAAAGCAAAACATAGTGACAGTCTGAAAGCAACAACAACGACACCTAGTTTATAGGAAAGCTAGAATAGGAAGCTAGGAAAGGAATAAAAAAAATTGTAGTATCAGTTTTCATTAAAGTAAACCTGATGAAAAGCACAAAACAAATTGAAAATTTTAATATTCTAAAATCCATGGGCAAATGTGCATTACACATGCTAACTTGAATAAAAAAAAAATATTGAATAATGGAGATTACATTTAAAGATTGTGAAATTTAGTGATGAGGATTTCCCAAATTCTCAAACCGTGTTAGAGGAAAACTGGAAACCTGTGTTTTATGGGCAATTTCCCCAATTTTAAAATTGTGTTGTAGAAATGCCATGTTGTATGAAGGATAACTGTACATCTATGAAAATTTTTTCTTATAAATGTCATTAAACAAAATTTTTATTTTAAAATTGATAAAGTAAATTATTTAAAATATTTGTTTACTTAAGATTTGAATTGAAGTATTGTTGAAATTGTTGAGGTTTGTTGCAGAATTTACTGAAGATTTTTAAAATTATGTTTTACAATTAGAAAATAAATATATATTTACATTGAATTTTTGTAATAATAATAATAACAGATTAACAATATTTAATAAAGTACAATTTATTTCATACTATTTTCAGATATACACTCATCAGAGAGGACCAAGTGATACTGCAGTATTTAAAGAACTTACAAAACGAGATGCTCAAATTCAATTACAACAAGAATTGGATAAATTACTACTTACTGTACCAGCATATGAAAGAGAGGTTATTTCAGAACATATTTTAGTTAATTTAATTTTTAGCTAATAAAATAATTCTAATACATTCATAAGTGTGAGCTTTAATGTGGTTAATTAAATGTCTAAAAACTGCTTAGTTTTTAGACATCTCAGAAGTTGAACAGATCTTCAGGACTGGTGATTTTAAGTTATCTTAGATTTTATTTTCAATTGTTGGATGGCTGAGTGCATGAACATCCACAGAAAATTTTTCAAGGAGAGCAAAGCTTGCAAACAAATAATTACATCAATAAATTTTTATTTACAATTTTGGGGTTCTTTTTCACAAGTAAATTATGGAATATATTATTGCATCAAAGCATTTCATGGTTGAGGATAAAAGGTTGTTTATCTCAATCACCTTTATTATCATAATTTGTGAAATTTTTTACTTGATTCCAGAGGGGGCAAGTGTCCTGGATACCCATAGCTGAGTGGTTAACATAGCAGCCTACTGTTATGGGGACTCAGGAACTAACCTGGACAGGTTGATAAGCACCAAGAATTTTTTGGGAGGTGGTCTGTCCAGATATGTCAAGGCCCCATCCCTCACTACCTGGCTGCCCATTTGTGGGCCTGGTGGAACCCATAATAGGCTTGTTAAAAAAGGCCTACTTTGTTCCCACAGGGCAGAATAGTTTAGAAAAAATGTCTTATCTTCAAATTTCATTCTGAATAAGAATTTAGAATAGCAAAGTTTTTTAAAACAGCTGACATGCCTTAATTTAAGTTTGAACTAATATATATATTTTAATTAGTAACTTTAAGTTCTGAATTAAAGAACATTTAAATTAATGCCCCTCAATGATATTGATTTTGAAGAATTATTCAACTTCTTAAACGTTTAAAAATTGTTTATCACTAAATCACATAATGTAGTATTTGATAGTACAATATTTAAATTATGATAAAGTAATTAAAAATTTTTTTTTTTGATATAGCATATTGATTCAGAATTTAAGGGATTTCAGCGATTATTTCAAAAATTTCTTCAAGGTGTTGGGCCATCTGTCCAGTGGAATAAAATTCAACCATTACCTGAAACAGCCGTGAGTATTTTTATAATATACAACTAATGTTTACATGATGCTACATTTTAATATTTTGAACATCATATTATCTTAAATATATTTAGCATTTCTGTAAAGCATTTTAATTCATTATTCATAGCATGAAAATTATAAATATTCATTACTTCTAGGTAAAAAAATCATCTTTTTTTGCTTTATTTTATTTATTCTGTGTTTTGTTTCTCTTCTTTAATCTTAATTCAAAATGCTTTTTTATAAGTAAAAAGAAATCTTTATTTCTCTGTTATTTTATTACAATTTCATTATATACTGTAGAATTATTGAATAAACATAATTAATTGAATCAATAAATTTAACTTTTCAATTGAAAATAAAAATTTTATTTAATTTTGGTTAAATACTGTACCAGTTGGCAAATATAAATTTGATGATAATAATATGGCAGACATGGCTTGATTGACATAGTAAACACCATAAATAAGTACAGATACTGCAAGTTTTTATAAGTTTTTAAGCAGTAACTCTAGCAGACTCAAATAATACATCATTAAACTTACACTCACATCATATGGACACAATACAACATAAAAAAAGCATAGACAACATCAAGCAATCATGGGCTCGAAAGGTACTCCACGGCAGACATCCCTATAACTCGGCCCAGAGTTTTGTTGATAAAACTATGTCAAACAGGTGGTTAGCTTGGGGAGATGGAAGGATCCAAGATTGCCATACAGGATCAGGACATGAATACTAAAAACTACAGAAAACACATAATGAAAAGGTACAACACTCACAAATGACAAATACAGAAAATGTCACATCATGCCAGAAACTATGCAACACACCACTTCTGATTGCAAGCTCTTGGTGCAGACAGATTATTTACATAGACATAATCAAGTAGCAAATATAATACAACAAGAGCTTGTAAACAAACACAAATTATTAGACATCTACGAACCATACTACAAATACATCCCATAGACGGTATTGGAAAACAACATAAGCAGAGCCATAATCAAAGATAAAACAATTTACCACAACAGACCAGACATCACACTCATTCATAAACACAATAAAATCACATACATTATAGACATAGCCATTCCAAACATTCACAATATACAAAACACATGCACTGAAAAAAATCAGCAAGTACATAGAACTCATCCAGGAAATAAGGCATCTGTGGAGGATGGATAGGGAGCTTATTGTCCCTGCCATTATCTCATCTACAGGTGCCATACCAAACAAATATTACGCACACTACACAAAAGCCTGGGAACATTACAGTTGAATAGAAACACATACATCACACTACAGAAGGCCACTATATTGAATATATGTCATATTGTTAGGAAATTCCTGAATACAGACACACACACACCAACACGCTTATTTTTGTTTTGATGGCACATTTTGGTCTGGCATAGTACACAGCAAATGCTGTCAACTGAGTATACTGGGTCAACTGAGTACCCACTACATCTAATATAATAATAATAAAGATCACAACCATAAAGTACTATATAAATAAATGGAATGAGCCATGTGTTTCATTTTATAAATAAAAGAAATACAGTATATACTATACATAAATATCACATTCAAGAGAAAAATTGTTCTTTGATCACTTCATATTGTATACTGTAATTATATAATAAAATATAAGAAAGTCNATAAACAGAGTAACATCACCAAACAATTGCCTTAAATAATCAGGCTATAACTCTGCTAATTTAATGATTAATACTAAGTAATTTGCTACTGGAGAAAATGTTAGACACCATCTCTTAACTAACTAAATAATTATAACTTTAATAATTTAACAAATAATTTAGAATTATCTGGAAGAAAAGAACCGACCCAGAGTGAGGCTCGAACTCATAACCTCCACTTGCCATGCAGTGTACTTGCCAGTTGCGCCACCCAGACCCCAAGCTTGCCTTTGCTTTCAGATGCATTTAAATTTAGATATAATCTTACACAGTTAATTATGGCGCCGGCTGCAGACAGCAACTATCCCCGTGGTCTAAGTACAACAGCACTCAGCCAGCTAATGTTTTACTTGGCAAGGTGTATGTGTATATATATATATATATATAAGTACAGTAATACCTCGACTTATGCTACCCCGACTTACGTGAACCTGGAGTTACGCGATTTTCAAATCTCGTCTATTCATCTTTTGTTTGAGCGCCACGCAACTTTCGATTACTCACTCCCCCCACACTATTGTTTAGCTTACGTGTTCAGACATGCCGCGCGGAATCGACACATAGCTACAATTTATTTTGTGTTGTTTATTTCTGTGTTTGTTATATCTACAGATACTTGAGAGACTCTATGTGGTGATTTCTTGTAACCATGAACGAATCAAAAGGTGAGATAAGGTTAACGAGAACATTTATTAGCTTACATACATCAGATTTGGATTTTACACAAATTGCGTAAATATACCCCGACTTACACTAATTCGACTTACGCGGTTATCGCTCGGTCCCACCTATCGCATAAGTTCGGGGTATTACTGTATATCAAACATTGCAAAACCAGATATGTGTATAGAAACATCACCAAACATTTGCCTTAAATAATCTGGTTATAGCCTGATTATTTAAGGCAGTTGTTTGGTGATGTTTTTATATACATATCAGGCTTCACAATGTTTGATATACTTATAAACAGGGTAATATTGTAAATAGTTACAAAAATGGTAATCTTAAAGATGATAGATTCAAAGCACTAAATAAACAGTATTTTGGGGAGAGAGGCAGTTTTACACTTTTTATGGGACTTAAAAGATTTTTCCAGAAATTTTTTTCAAACTATAACTTATCTGTCCAATCAATTTTAAAATCATAACTCTAAATCTCTGTTTGAAAATTGAAACAAACAAACTAAATTCAAATACAATAGAGAGTCGATTATCTGAATGCTGAAACGGAAATGTCGGTTAACTGAAAGTGTTCCAGTTGGACTGTGTTGCGCTGAATCGAATGTTTTTAATACTAGAATAACTTCTAAGGGGCATCCATAAATTACGTAAGGTATTTTGGGTGGATGGGGTCAAGGATTTCTTACGATTTCTTACTCAGGTACGGGGTAATAGATCTCATCTTACGTAATATTCTTTTATTTTTTGATCTCATTGAGCGGTGGAGTTTTGAATTTTGCTTCCAATTTGTCTGTTTCTATTAAGAACACTCATTGTACCAATGCCATCTCGTGATGTGATAGAATAATAATGCTTGCAGACTCATGCTCTACACATTTTTTTTTATCATGGAAGAAAGGCCATGTGGTGGTTTCTCTCTCTTCTATCTTGGTTTGTTTTGTATGACATTTCTGTTTACACGTGTACTAGCTAGTAAATCTGTTAAAGTTTTTTGCATCCTTTTATGAAATTAAAATTAATAGAAAAATGAATATTATGACGTTGATTAATGATGATGATAATGAAAAGATTGTTAATAATTAAAAAAATAAAGTTCTTAAAATAAATTGTTCATTCAAATTCATTATATTTTTATATTTTAAAATTTGTTCACATAGTCTTTTATAAATATTTAGTACATTTTAATTAACTAATTAATAATTATATATTTTGGATCTAAGACTTTCAGGGTTTCATAAAAAAATGTTTCTTGTTAAAATCTTTCTTCAAAATCATTCCTAAATATTACATAAGATAGGGAAGGGGATCAAAGAAAATATTACAGTTTCTTACACGGGTGGGTGGGGTCTAGAATGGCCGAAATCACCCTAATCATCCTTATGGACAGCCCCTAAAGTATAATTTTTTTAGTTTTTATATTTTTCAATATATTTATTTTGCTTGTACAAAATAAAGAAATAATTTTTAATGATACAATAGTCACAATTATTATTATAAAAATTTTCATTAGGCTTAACATTGACGAAAATTCAACGCGAAACGACACACAACAGAGAAAAATTTAAACATGGGATATATTAATATACTATTATTGGGATATACTAATATACTATATTAATAATGTATTTTTTGTACATATTCGGTTATCCAAAAAATTGATTTTCTGAACAACCCAGTCCCCCAATTGATTCAGATAATCAACACTCTACTGTACAGAAATTAATATCAAAATAACTGAATTAAGTATATTTACTATATCTGTAATATAAAATATTATTTTTATTTGTTTGATATTTGTGATGACAAATTGTTAATATATTATTATTATTCTTATTTTATTTTTTAGATATGTGCCTATAGTGATCTTGCTATTCCAGAAACAAGCCACATAAGAGAAATGTTAAATAAATTAGTTGTTATTAAATTAAATGGTGGACTTGGTACGAGCATGGGATGTACTGGGCCTAAATCTACTATACCTGTTCGAAATGATTTAACATTCTTAGATCTTACAGTTCAACAAATAGAGGTAATATTATTTAGCATATCATATACAAAAATATTCATAAATTTCAATAATTAAATAAACTCGAAATAATACAATAAATAAATTACATTTTTTTTTTTTTTATCAAAACCCAAATTTATCTTTGTAAAACTAAAATCTTAATTAAATTTTATTTATTTATTATTCCTTTTATCAATTTGTATCAGTTAACACAAACTGATAAATAGAATAATTTACACAAAAATGAGTCATATCTTATTCTGTAATCAAACTATTTATTTATAAAAGAAACTGTATAAAATTTTAAATTTACTTTAAAATAATTTAGCTGTTAAAAAGATGCAAAATCTGTAATCTGAAAAAATTTAATTTTTGTATTAATTTATGATTTCAAGTTATTACTGACCATTAAATATCTAAATCAGTTATTTATTCTATTCAGATTATTTAGTTTACTTTTTTCCATTTTTGTTTTGTTTGATCTGTGGGCACTAAGAGGGGATTTTTTTTTATCATATCCATCATGGATTTGGCTGGGCTTACTAATGGAGGTAGCTAAGTGGTGAGGGACAAGGCTCAACATATCTAGGACAGACAGATTAAATTAAGGATCAGATAGTCGACTCTTGTAAAGAGTTCGTAGCACCCTCACCAGTAACAGGCAGAACCATTCATTTCTTTGGCAAGTTCATTCAGTGATCCTCACTGAATGAACTCACCAAATTGACGATATATACTTGATAATTGACAACAATAATTGACTATATATAATATATAAACTTTTTTCTTCTACTTTTATTACTAATAAATAAATAAGTTCTCAGTATATAACGTAGGTGCATATTTCATATTTTCTGATAATAGACTATAAGTAGAAAATATTGTTAATACAAATGATATTAACTTTTATAATACTAGAACGTTCAATGGTCCATAATAGATAAAACAAAGATAATTAAACCATTTTAAATTTCTACATAAAACTTATGAAAACTTACATCTTACAGAGCTTTTTGTATTTAAACATATAAAATCTGATGTTAATCAAATTGATTGATTTTATAATCAGACTTAATTCACAGTCATTGTCTAACATGTGGTGACTAGTGAAATCTGCCAACTTGATATCAAGATAGCAGATTTCACTGATTTCACAGATGGTAGAAGTGTCCTTTTTAAAATTCTAATAAACTTTTTTATTAAAACTAGCAGCAGAAAACAATATATAGTATTTTCTGTGAATTGAATTGAATCTAATAAAATGCACAATATATAAAGAAATTATTTAAATTAAGTTAGTAATGAATTTATATTATAAAAATGATTAGCAAAAAAAATTATATGAAATGAATCTATAAAAATAATTATGTAGAGAGATTTTTATGAATAAAAATTTACATTTAAATTTTTAAAATTTATTAATTATATTTAATTAAGAAATTAAAAATCTTTTTCTTTTATGTTTTTTTTTCTTTCTTTAATAAAATATAGTGTATANACCCTCACCAGTAACAGGCAGAACCATTCATTTCTTTGGCAAGTTCATTCAGTGATCCTCACTGAATGAACTCACCAAATTGACGATATATACTTGATAATTGACAACAATAATTGACTATATATAATATATAAACTTTTTTCTTCTACTTTTATTACTAATAAATAAATAAGTTCTCAGTATATAACGTAGGTGCATATTTCATATTTTCTGATAATAGACTATAAGTAGAAAATATTGTTAATACAAATGATATTAACTTTTATAATACTAGAACGTTCAATGGTCCATAATAGATAAAACAAAGATAATTAAACCATTTTAAATTTCTACATAAAACTTATGAAAACTTACATCTTACAGAGCTTTTTGTATTTAAACATATAAAATCTGATGTTAATCAAATTGATTGATTTTATAATCAGACTTAATTCACAGTCATTGTCTAACATGTGGTGACTAGTGAAATCTGCCAACTTGATATCAAGATAGCAGATTTCACTGATTTCACAGATGGTAGAAGTGTCCTTTTTAAAATTCTAATAAACTTTTTTATTAAAATTTAAAACATATATTTAGGATTTCAAGATTTATTAAAATTAAATTGCATAATTATAATTGACATTTTGATAATTTATTTAATTATAGAAACAGATGAATTAAAGATGTTTAGTTTTATACAAGTTAAAAAATCAATATGATTAGTATTAACAATATCTTCTACTTATAGCCTATTTATTAACAGAAAGTAATATGTACCTCTCTTATACATGATTTTCAAATTAAGGATACTGTTTTGTTTGCTTTATTATTGATCTTTACTAAATCAAAATTATTACATTGTATAAAAAATAAGAAAGTTGTGAATTATTTACAAAAATATAATTAGTTATCAGATTTCTTAAAATATATCACTTTAATATTTTCCTTATTAATGTTCATTTTTTTTTTTTATTTATATTATGTTGTGTTTTATTTCTATATTTCTATGTTACTTATGAATTAGTGGTCACATAAGATGGGAATTTTATTGAATTCGCATTAAAAAATTTTTATCCATTTGACTCTGCTCCAAGATTAAATTCCGAGTGTGCCAATACTATTGAATTTGAAGACTAATTTAATATTTTTTAAAAATTAATAAAATTGTAATTTTGAAAGAAGTAATCACATCTAATAAAATAACCTGTTTCTACCTTTTACTGGTGAGTGAGCTACAATCCTAAGACTGACTACAATTGAGTCTATGGAAGTTGGCTATCTGGTCCATAATCTGTGGGACTATCCATGAAAAATTCATGGGCGTTTTTGCCTATCCAGATTCAGTCCTGGCTCCCCTTGGATGCCTTAACTGTCTTAGCCATCTAGCCATCAAACTTAGTTTTGTTGACTAAATTTAATTCTTTATTATTTTATTTAACAGAAAATTTGTATATAGATTCAAACAATATCAAAAGTTTTTATTCATTTCTTAGCCTTTCTCTTCTTTGACTTGCTTAATAATGTAATACCAATCAAGCACTTAGAATGAAAATACACATGTAACCCTGTAAATATTTCAATATATCTTGCCACCTAATTTTGATAAGAAATATTTCTATGCACTAACTCTATCTAGACTTATAAATACATTAGAATTATTTAATTTAAATCCATATCTAATTTATTTCAGTTTAACATAGTTTTGTACCGTTGGATTTGCAATAAGTACATTTTAACTACAATATTAGTTTTATAATATTTAACCATAATTATTAAATATAATAATTTTATTAAAATTTATATTAATTTTGTAGTGTTCTTATACTAAAGCCAAACAATTGTCAGATTAAATCGTTTGACTTTAATATAAATATCAGGCTTTGAGATGTTTAAAAATGTTCTTATTTTCATGTAATAACTTAATGTGAAATAATTTACAGTTTCTTTTTATATATTATTTTACATAAATTATTTCTAAAGCTGGAATTTTCTTTAGTTTCAGTTAAGTTCATTTTCTTTAATAAGAAAATGGACTTAGTTAACTGTGCACACTTTTCCATCAGTAAAAAAACATTTTAATATCTAAAATGCAGACATTTTCATTTGCATTTTAGATATTTTAGGTAATTTTCTATTATTTTACTAAATATATTAATAAATTTTAAAATAATAATTTTAGATAACTTCTATATAATATAATATCTCTTAAATAATCATAGGAAAATAATATAAAAATTTTAAATAACTGAAAATATTGATATTTTTAATATTAAAATTTTCTAGTGCTTAAACAAGCACTACGATGCTGACGTGCCTCTTGTTTTGATGAATTCATTTAACACAGACGAAGACACACAAAAAGTGTTAAGAAAATATAGAGGATTTAGGATTAAAATATATACTTTTAATCAAAGCAGGTCATTTTCTTTAAGTAAATAATATTTATATATTATTGTTTTAATCTAAAATTAACTTTTTATATTATTATAAAATTAATTCAGATACCCTAGAATTAACAGAGAGAGCCTTTTACCGATGGCCAATTCAATCTCGGAAGTTGATCCTGAAGTGTAAATATTTATTTATTTATTTGTTTTAGTGCAAAATAATAGTTAAATATTAAAATACATCTGTTATCTGTCTTATTTATTATAATTTTAAAAATTCTTTACCATTCAAGGAAATAGAATTTTTTGAATACAGTAGAACCTCGTAAACTCGGCCTAATGTGGACCGAAGGGTGGCCGAGTTTGTGAAAATGCCGGGTTATCGGGAATGGGGTTAAAAAAAATAAGTACGAGTGTTTCCTCAGAAAATACTGTACTGTACTTGTATGTATTGTTTACTTGAGAATATAACAGAGAATAAACTGCCCAAATACCCTTAAACAAAGGAAAAGTACGTCCTTTATGAAGGCATAGAGCCTTTACTACATGAAAATGAAAATTAATGAATACACTGTGTACAGTAATTTACCTGATAAGACAGACCTCAGAAAAATACTTTATGAGAGCTTTTATACTTTTATAAAGCTGTCTATAATGAAAATTAATTAACTAAGGATTTTTTTGCCCTGCCAGGGTGTGGACGAGTTATCCGGAGTGCCGGGTTATCGAGGGCCGAGTTTTCGAGGTTCTACTGTATTAAAAAACATTTTGAACATTTTAACAAATATTGATATTATCATCTAAACTAAGTATTTCTCTAACAATATTCTGTGTTTATATTGTAAAATTTAGTTACTCTCTTCCAAGTCTTCCCCAATTTAAAATTCTACATAACCTGTCAGTAAAAGAAGCCTTATAAATTCAATCCTTTCAATTTTAAATTTGTTTGATTCAAAAGAGAAGGAAGCCAAGAGAAATCTTGAAAATGTGTTTTTCTGCTAATCTAACAGGAAATCTTTAATTAAATTGGATCTTAAAGTAAATTATAAAGTTTAACTAATGTAAGCTGTTAAACAATTGAATATTGAAGTAGTGACAAAATTTGTAATTAATTAATTTTATTTACATAAAGTTAATTAATTTTAGGCAATTTAAAATTTTTATTGATGATTTTAAATTTGCTTATTTAATCTTAAGATTAAACAAAATCATAAAAATATTTTAAGAAATAAAAAATTTATATAAAAATTGTTGTTTCAGAAATTTGAAATTTTACTTAATAGTTTTTAAACAATTTGGATTCAGCAAAATAACAAATTTTAGAACAAAATAAAAAAATACAATCAATCTAAAATCTCAATTTCAATTGATTAAAAATTGTTAATTTGTATTTATTTAAGAATGTGTGTTTTTTTTGTATAAAAGTGTTTAAATTAAATAAAATAAAATTTTAAAAATTATTACAATTTCTTCTTTATAAATTTAAGGATTTCGATTTTAATCCAAAATTTAAAGTCAAAGAATTCCTGTCAATTCTTGTCAATGAGGTTTTTCCAGCCTTCATTGCTTTTTCAATAAAAGAAGCCTGCTTTTATGCCACATAAATTTATAAATTTCATAATTTTAAATTTACTTCCCTATCTTTATTAAATGCATAATTGATAGTAACTTAATGTTTTATATCTGTTTCTATTATGTTTTATATACTAGTTGATATACTTCCTATATAATGTTTGAACAATTTAGGTAATAAAACAATTAATATTATAAATATTTAAAAATGGTAGTTAATTGTTAAAAACTTCTTTTTCAACCGGAAAAGAAGTGTTTAGCAATTAACTACCTTTTTTAGATATTTACAAAAAACCAACTGAGGCCTTTTTTAAAAAGGTTTTAAATTAAATTTTATTATGCCTTTTAATGTTTTAATTAATATTATATTGTTAATTCAAGAAATTTTTATGGCTTTTCCTCTTCATTAGAAAGGATCAATCCACAGGCACTTAAAATTGACACATCTTTTTATATGTTTGTACAATTTCATAATTCATATCTTTAACTAATGACAGAAATATTTCAGATTTAAAAAAGACATTTTAAATTATTTTCATAGAAAATTTAAGATTTTTATATTTAGATGGTATCCTCCTGGTCATGGGGATTTTTACGAATCATTTTATAAATCTGGATTGTTACAGAAGTTCATTGATATGGGAAGAGAGTATTGTTTTGTATCAAATATTGATAATCTTGGAGCAACAGTTGATTTAAGTATCCTTTATTTTAAAAAATTTTATTTAAATTAATTTAATATGAAAATTATATAAAAAAATTTTCTTGCTTTTTTTAAGTTATTTGTTTTGCTTAACATTTATTTATATATACTGAACTTTTTAATTAATCACAAAAGAGGAGTAGCTCCTGAATTTGTTATGGAAGTAACTGATAAAACAAATGCAGATGTGAAAGTAAATAAACTTTCTTTTTTTATAAGTTTATGAAATTACAATTTAAGAATACTCCAATATTTATTTTGTTTATCTAAGTTAATTTATGAATTTTAATTTTTATCAATGAGTACTGTAAATTTTATGCAGATAACCTGTGGGTTTTATTTTTAAATCTTTCTACCCTGCTGCTGGGCACTAAAAGAGTAAAAGACTGTTTTAGCCACATCCGTCGTGGGTTTGGCCTGGTGATAAGAGATGGAATTTGACTTATCTGGGCCAGATTGTCTCTAAATAAATTCTAGGGAGTTACTCATCCTTGATTTGATCCCAGATGCTCCAGAGAGATAGGCCAATACTTTAACTGCTTTGACTATTTGTCCATCAACTGTGTATCTCATGGGTTATGATTAAAAGGCAGTTTGAAAGTGGGTGCAAGTTATGTGATGGGGTGAATTATATGTGAGTTTTAAATTGCAGCATCAAACAACTTCCCCTTTGTCTAAAGTCACTAAGAAATTTCAGAAAATGTGAAAAATTCTTTGCATGCTAGGAACATATTCATCTGCCATTGCAATTTTTCCCAAATCCACCAAAGGCATATTTATGCATATCTCTCATTTAGTTTTCTCTTATTCATTTTTTGTACATCAATCCATTACGTTAATTATTATTACCTTATTACACACTCCTACTTAAACTAGTATCTTGAAAGCAGATAAAAACTTCTGGTTAATTTTTTCTGTCTTATATAATCTCATAATTTCAGAGAACTGTTTAGAAACCAACTATTGAATTTACAATATATTAACTCAATGTGTTTTTTATTATTGTAAAGTGAATTTTAACAATTAAAATAATTATGTACACTTAAAACAGTTACCTTAGCTTGACCACAATACTTCTCCTTGTTCATACACATTATATTCTGCCATATTCTAACTAAATAAAAGTTAAATTTGATGTCATTAATTAGTTTTATTTACTTCATTTTTTAATCTCTAGTGTACAACCAACCCATTTTATATTAATTAAACAAATGTTTGTTTAAAATTTAAAATATTATTAGATAACTTTCAAGTTGGAAGATAATAGTAAAATAAATTTAAGGTCTGAGTGATTGACCTTCCAAACCCTTTCAAATTGGGTATTATGAATTATTAAAATTATTTTCTTTAATTTTCTCCCAATTTATTTCAGCATCTATTATTATTCTCACTTATTGTATCAAAATATTTATAATACACACAATACAAGAAACAATTAAATTTTGAAACATTACTTTAAACTATATACTATAAATAATTGTTAAATGACTTTAGCAATTTTAAATTTATAAATTGTTTTAAATAATTGATATAATTTCAGGGAGGGACTTTGATTCAGTACGAAGGAAAATTGAGATTGTTAGAAATTGCTCAACTTCCAACCGAACACGTAAGGAAATTTAAATTTTATTTTATAATTATGAGTAAAATGTATGATTTTGATCACTTTCATGAATGACTGTAATTAAATTTTTGTAATAAAAGCAAATAATTAAAATATATTCACTATCAAATATTAATGAACAAAATTATAATCTGTTAGTAATTAAATCATTTGATATTTTAAAATGCTATATTGTGTAAGTTTTGCAATATGTTACTTATCCGATGGCAGAATTAAGGCATTTTTTCTTGTTTACTACATAAAAGTTTAGCCCTACTTCAGCTTTAAATCTGTAATGGAGGTTGTTATTTACAGTAGTCACTCACCAGTCTGACACGTCCAGTAATCCGACATTCCACCACAGGGTGGTGCATGTGAAATTTTCATGTTACCACTTGATTTATGTGATAGAGAGACTGATGTACAGTACAGTACAGTAAGTGTATACTGTCAGTCACTAAATTGTTGCATGTATGGTAGCAAAACAGTCACAGTCATGATTAATACAATAAACTAACCTGTGAATCAAGTGCAATTTTTTACTGCGCTTTATTCATAGGTACAGTATACATACAAAATCCAGTAATCCAACAATCTGCTGTAATCAGATACCCACTGGTTCAATCTATGCTGGATTACGGAGACTTTACTGTATTATGTACTGTTTGTTGTCAGGGACAGATCTAAAAGGGCAGTAACTAAATGTTGACCCCATTTAGATCTGTTTCTGTTAGTAATAAAAATTAATCTTAAAGGGTAATAGGAGCTATTACTCCTTAAGATTTTTTGTTTAAAAAGTTTCATTATTTCTTAAATATTCTTAAATATATGATTTTTATTTAACTGTGTGTTTTAATTTATATTTTAAAAAATAATAATCATTATCTTATTTTTCTTTGAAATTATTGTATTTTGATCTTTCATTTTACAGTTAAATTAATTTTATCTTTTGATGTAATAGCAGTAACACCATTTTTATTATTACAGGTTGATGACTTTAAAAGTGTAAAGAAATTTAAGTAAGTAAATAATTATTTTTTGTTATAAATTTTAAATATTTGTTTTAAGAAGTTAATTTTTCAATAAAAATTTCCAATACTACATACTTATTTCCAAAAAGCTCGAAACTATTGGAGGGGTCTTTGGCCAGTCATAGGTATAATCAAACCACGTGGCTCACACGAGGAGCTGAGGTGAAATGGGTGCAAAATTTACACTATTTTACATCATTTAGCAAACCCAAGGCATGCCAAAACTTTCATGGAGTGCAGTTAAGACTAGAGTCTGTACTATTATCAGAAGCAATATAGTTACCTCCAAATTATACTCTAATCTCATAAATAAGATATACAATTTATATATATATAGTACATACCTATTGTATTAAAATCTATATTATTTTATTGGCTATACCATTATTGATTTCACAGAAATGGGTTAAGATAGTTAATGTACAAATCAAAAACAGTAATCGATTATTAATGGACAGAATATTGGAATGCAGGAGCATAATATTCTTCTTTAGCTTGGTTGATATTGTCAAATTCTTCATTTTTTGATCGACCCTCTTATTCGATAATTGTTCGTTGAATACTGGGTGTGTTCTCCCTTTATTTAGGTGCCAAACTATTGCCGTTTTGTCATAAATATAAAAATGTAGAGATTTATGGTCAGGATTGTCAATATATTTTAGCTACATCAAATTAAAAGTAAATATCTATCTATACTGTGTAACAATTTGAGTAAAAACAAATTTTTACAAACTTGATAAAACTGTTTGATAGTGATAAATATCCTGAATAGTTTCATGCATCTTGAATCTTAATTTCAATTAATATATTCTTTTATATAGGAAATACAGAAGATACAAAAACGTCTTCACTTCCACTCTTCTTCACAGAGACAACCTTTTATTGTAGGCTAAAGATGGCAATGCATGTTAAGGAAATCTTTTGAGGAATAACTGTGAGGTCCTGGCCTTGAGGAAATTCAGAATTTCCTATCGCCCACACACGAGGAGGAAAATCTCTGTCAGTCAGTCAGCCATGCATTTGATGACGACGTACTGGCTGTTTATCAGAAACAAATTGTATTAAAACTCATGGGAAAAAACGTGAATAGAAGTCTATGGTGTAAATGGTAGTAGTAGTGGTGGTGGTCTGGGTGGCACTGATCACAAAATTAATTTTTCAAGAGAAATCTTGGGATATATTGATAGATTCTGTTAAAAAGCATCAATTATCAAGGAAAGATCAATGGCAAGTCGATTTTACTACAAAAAAAATTCATGGATTAAATTTTATAGGTGAAAAACCATCGGATATAACTGGCTGGATTGAACATAGTAATTTACAAAACTTATTAAATTATTTCTCAGCGTATAAAGAATTGTTTTTATTTAAAGGTAGGTAGATAGAAAAAAAATCTTTTTAAAAACTGGAGCTACAGTTATTTAGACATCAAACTTCTTGGGTGTCCAAGTTCAGATAATATTAAAAAGAATTATTATTACCACAAATATTAATTGCTCAACTTCCAACCGAACACGTAAGGAAATTTAAATTTTATTTTATAATTATGAGTAAAATGTATGATTTTGATCACTTTCATGAATGACTGTAATTAAATTTTTGTAATAAAAGCAAATAATTAAAATATATTCACTATCAAATATTAATGAACAAAATTATAATCTGTTAGTAATTAAATCATTTGATATTTTAAAATGCTATATTGTGTAAGTTTTGCAATATGTTACTTATCCGATGGCAGAATTAAGGCATTTTTTCTTGTTTACTACATAAAAGTTTAGCCCTACTTCAGCTTTAAATCTGTAATGGAGGTTGTTATTTACAGTAGTCACTCACCAGTCTGACACGTCCAGTAATCCGACATTCCACCACAGGGTGGTGCATGTGAAATTTTCATGTTACCACTTGATTTATGTGATAGAGAGACTGATGTACAGTACAGTACAGTAAGTGTATACTGTCAGTCACTAAATTGTTGCATGTATGGTAGCAAAACAGTCACAGTCATGATTAATACAATAAACTAACCTGTGAATCAAGTGCAATTTTTTACTGCGCTTTATTCATAGGTACAGTATACATACAAAATCCAGTAATCCAACAATCTGCTGTAATCAGATACCCACTGGTTCAATCTATGCTGGATTACGGAGACTTTACTGTATTATGTACTGTTTGTTGTCAGGGACAGATCTAAAAGGGCAGTAACTAAATGTTGACCCCATTTAGATCTGTTTCTGTTAGTAATAAAAATTAATCTTAAAGGGTAATAGGAGCTATTACTCCTTAAGATTTTTTGTTTAAANAGTTTTCTAAGTTATTTATAATTTTAATTTACTCAAGAAATTTTTGTTCTGAAAATAATTTATAACCTGAAAAATTAATTTTTTAGGTTATAAATAATAAAAGTTAATAAGGTTATGGAAAATAATTCTTCCAAACATTCACAAGACATTGTTCTCACTACTTAGAGGCTTCAGAACTGAACACCATGATGGCACACACGTTACGGTTGGCCTGCGCAGTCCAAAACTATGCAGGAAAATCAAATGGTTTTTCGTTTCTACTCCAGTGGCCTGTACAGGCTGCCGAAACTGTACAGTTGTCCCCCCACACTAACAGTTATTCCTCAAAGGATTTCTTAACTTGTGTGGCCACCTTAAGATTCTGCTACACTATGCAAAACAGTTTAAAAATGTTCACTGATGATAAGCCATAAAAACTTGTAAAAATTGTATACTTGATTTAAAATGGCAGACTTCTTGTATTTTCTATATTTTGTAACTATACCGTTTGCCATTTTAAATCAAACATGTTCTGATAGTATTGTTACTTGCAAGTTTTTGTAGCTTTATAACAGATTTTTAATGCAATTTACTATTATAAAAAAAAAGCCAATAATTTAGAATATATATCTGTTGAAAAATTTATTTATTAATGCAATATAATTGATTTTTCTATAGAATTTTCAACACTAATAATCTATGGATGAGGCTACAAAGTATCTCAAAGTTAGTTCAAGAAGGTGGTCTTGATATGGAAATAATCGTAAATAACAAAGTAAGAAAATTGAAAACATTGTAAATATATTGATGTTGTGGTCTAATCAAACTATGTATGAAATTTTTCCTGCATTTTTATAGTATACTAATATACAAGTATTAATATTTTATCACATTATTTTGAATAATCAATCAATTATAAAAATAATATCATATATTAAAATTTTTTGATGTTAACCAAGTGCATGAATTTATGAAAATAGTTATTTTTAAACAATAAAATGTAAAGTCTGGATCTCTATTTATCAACTCGTTGTTATGGAAAAAAACAGACAGGAAGAAAAAATATTTTATTATTTTTATTTTCTCCCTATCATCACTTATTAGTTTGTACATAAAAATAATTAAGAAATACTGTACAAATGTTTGGTGTTCATTAATAATAATCATTCATAATATTAAAATGTTTATCAAACTTCCAAGAATATCATAGCGTTTAATTTACTTTTCTAGCATTTAGATTACGGTGTAAATGTCATTCAGTTAGAAACTGCCGTTGGTGACGCCATGAAAGATTTTGAAGGAGCAATCGGTATGCATCATTTTCTTTATAAAAAGTTATACTTAAGGCAGCATTTTTTAATGTTGAATTATATATAAACTCAACATAATAAAAAAGCTATATACACATATACTTAATGTAAGATAGTTAATGTAAAAATTGTTTTCTCGAAAGAAAAACATTTTGGGTGAGTCAAAATATGTCATAACACTACGTAGTGTTAAATGATAGTATTTTACTTGTAAGAAATTTTACTATTTTGTATTTTGAAAATGTTCTCAAAATTAATCTTTATTTGTAATTTCTTTCATATTTTAAGTATAACATTAATTTTTTTTTTTTTTTGTCTTTTGTATATTTAACTATATTATAATTTCTAAATTCGGAAACTGCTCTCTCACTAGCCCAAACCTACGGTAATCCAAGCTTGGCTTAGTCTGAACTAATTTTGCTTATTTTGTTGCCAGATATTTTGGTCAAAACACACCAACTTTTAAAAATATGGAAAATTTGTAATATAATTTACAAAATTAATGTACTATACCTTTTAACTTAAATATATGTACAGTACCTGTACTTGTCTCTAGGCCTTTTTTGACTTGGGTTTTAACTTATGCAATACGTAGAAGGTCTTATTAATTCTGCCAGCATCTGTATCACTTGTCAAGTAGTTCTGAAAGCTATTTTTGTAACACAGTATCTTTAAGTGCTCTTGTTGATGTTGAAACCTGCAGCACTTTAAATTTTATCTGTTTCCTAAAATAAGTCTTCAAAGGCAAGGTAAAGAGATTTACAGTATTTAATGCAGCTTCCAATGAATATAACAATGTCTCCTCGAATACATCACAAAATATGGCTTTCTAGAGCTGCTTTGACTAGTAATAGGGCAGAAATGTATAACTCTAGAAGGAATATGCTTTTAAGTGTGTGTTGGGATTATTTTACATGAAGTTAAGGATAATGTTCTTTAAGAAGTTTTTGAAATATTTAAATAAATATTTTTAAATGATGAAATCATATCATTTATTAAAAAGTCTGATCAGAATTGTAATTAAATAATAATTTATATCTCTAGGTGTTAATGTACCGCGCAGCAGATTTCTTCCTGTCAAGAAGACATCTGATCTATTGTTAGTCATGAGCAATTTATATCACATGAAGAATGGAACTCTCTCTATGAATCCCGCCAGACCGTTTCCTTCCGTTCCTTTGGTAAAACTGGGAGACATTCATTTTGCTAAGGTAACTTTTATCAAACATTATACAGGGGATATATCTAAAATAGCTTGCTCTCAACTTGTAAAAGTTGAGAGCAAGCTATTATGGTATAAGTTTATTTTATTGGTTTGCCAATTTTGGAACATTTGACCATAGTCAAATGTTTCAAGTTTTATGTTCAGTGTGGCAGATAGCCCAATTTTGGAGTTTGATCACGTGCAGATAAGAATGGGACATACACTCAATCTTCAGATTTTTTTTCTTGTAAGGATTTGTTAAAAGTGTTACTGTGGCCACCTCATTCCCCAGATCTATCACTGCACCCCAACCAATCATCTTTCCTGGTCATCGTGAAGAACCTAACCGGATACACAATGTCAATAATGATCGTCTCCATGAAAAAGAAGGGGCCGATTGCACTGTTGGCGGGAGTATTTGGTGCAAAAGTTTTACGGCAGACAGAGATGAACAAAGGCAAGAACTGTTCTGCACTTGATGTTACAAAATTATATAATGACTTGTCAATCATCTTTATTATATTAGTTCTCACTGACAGGATTGATATAATTTTAAAATTAAACGTGTGTTTTGTAAAAGTATTTACACTAATTAAAAAATCTTCATTACACACAAAATAGATGTGAAATAATTTTTAATATAGAAAATATTTTCCACTAATGTAAAATATTATCAATTATCATTGTTCTATATATGTCTATTTAGTACATTTTAGTTGCTAGATACTTGTGAAATAATTTCATTTTATTCTATACTAATATTGCAAGATTGATTTTTAATTGTTTCAATGGTCAACCAGAAAAATGATGCAATAAAATATTTCAGCAGAAGCTTAATTTTTATTAAATTTTCTCTTCTTGCAATGTTTGTTTTAGAACAGAATCCATCTCAAAGCGTTTATAATGTAGGCGATTATGGTATGAATGGAAGTTTGGCACATGAGGAAGCAACTGGGCCAATTTCCATTCATGCCATAATCACTAATTATAAACGAATTGTCATACAGTATTTTGTGATTGACTACACCTATAACACTGTGTTTATACTTATGGAAATCAAAATTATGTATAGAGTTTGTGGCACAGGTGCCACAAACTCTGTGATTATACATAAGTAGTGCTGCTGTTTCTAGGGTAAAACTGACCAGTGATTAGTCTTGTGCATCCTAATTCACACCAGATCTACACCAGATCACACCTGTGACTAGGAAAAAACTTACAATGTTATAATCAAAGCAAGCCAAAAACTAGAACAAAATTTTATTAAGGAAAAAGCACAATTTATTAGATAAATTTGGTCATAGCTTAGGTATATATGATACAATAATATATACATATGAATTATGTTAGTTGGTATAACAATTTTTATTTAAAATTTAGTTTTCCTGACACTTTTCCCTTATAGCGCATGCAACAACAAAAAAGGATGTATAGTTTTATATAGACCGATTTTACCTCAAACAGATAATTCTTCACTTTACACCATGTGGAACTTATTTATTTTATTCAACACTTGAATGCAGTGCGTGCGCGCGCGCACACACACACACACACACACACACACACACACACACAACAATGAACTAGATAATACGAGTCAGGAACTAGTTCACTCCAGTCACTTGAGAGATCAATCTTTTGAACTAGTTTGTTCATGAACTACCCAAGCCTACCTGTGATCTGATGCTATTACCCATTGTGCCACAAGTTTTGCCAGAAAATGTTTTAGCCTAGGACAATAAAAGCTAAAGAAATAAAGTAGATTAATATACAGTGTAAACTCGTGTATGTACTGTACCTAGCACCAAAGCTGAGTAGGATGTCGCTTTTCTCAACCTTCATGCCATTGGGCCATAAGCACTCCATATTAAATGTAAATTAATACCTCTGATAAAGCCTAAAAATCCTAAGACAATTATTAAAAACAATGAATTAATAATCAGAACAATTCTTAAGATTTTTATTTCACAATAATAGTACAGGAATCTGCATCATAGAATTGTTTTCCTTATTATTATTTTTTTAATCTGAGCATGAGCTCTGAGAATTTTCTCAATTTAGGGTAATCTAGAGTAAAACGAAGGTGCCATTAAGGTAGTTCCACCAGGAGCAGACAGCAGCACTGGTTATAGGTATAGTCAACCACAAAAATAATTATTCATTTTTCATAAATGTTTGGAAAAAATTAACAAAATATTTTTATAAATGCTGGTAATCTACTGGTGTTCCAAATTAACACTATCAAAAGAAATTGTTATTAGCTATGCATTTTGGGATTAAAACAAACCCCTCTTTGGGTGGGAACTCTCCAGTTTTTACATATATACTTCTTGTTAAAATGTGCAATTCTTTGCCAACTTAAACTTGGTTACAAGAGAAACTTGGGTTTACCATTTGATAGTCTTAGGTTGAGACTCCACTACCATAAAAACGGCATAAAACCCCTTGCCGTAAAATATTTTACAACAGAGCAGATCATAAAAGCAAGTTGAACACTGCTCAACTCACTTTTACGCTGGTTTATGACCTGCTCAGGTGTAAAATATCAGGGTCACGTGATTAAAAGCTTTTATGCCCGTTTTAAGCTAGTGGAGTCTTGGCCTTAATTCAGAACACCGGTAGGTTTCCTTCCTGCATTTATGATTTTAAAGTCTACCATAGTGATTTAGGAACTAAATCATTATGTATATAAAATATATTTGCATTAATGCATATAAACAAGAATAACAACTCAACACAAAACAGCATTAAACGAATAGAATACAAATGTCTGGTACAAATACAATACAAAATTTTTTAAATTGTACCAGACATTTGTATTCTATTCGGTTAATGCTGTTTTGTTTCTGTACTTTAAAATTTGTTCTGAAAAATCATTCGATTTGTGTTAGAGCCTGACAATGATGACATTTATAGGAATGCTCTGTTTAATTCTTTGCAAGCACCAGAAGTGCTTGCAAAGAATTAAAGAGAACATTCCTATAAATGTCATATAGCTTGGACAAGATTAGTGCATATTTCCACATTAAACTTTCCAGGTAAGAGATTATCTTCAAAGATTTGCAAGCATTCCTGATATGCTGGAACTAGATCACCTGACCGTTTCGGGCGACGTCACCTTTGGAAAAGGTGTCTCGCTGAAGGTAAAGTACAGTTTAACTACATAGGTAATTAATTTTAATTATTTAATTTTGTGAACTTTGTTACAGGGGACAGTCATCATCATTGCAAATCACGGAGATAGAATAGACATTCCTCCCGGTGCCATTCTGGAAAACAAAATTGTCTCGGGAAATCTAAGAATTTTGGATCATTGAAAATTTTATTGGGTTTGCTCATAAGCTTTGTATTATAACCACTGCAACATTCTACTAACCAAATTTTTCTAATGCTGTGATATTTTCATAAAGCAAAAATGCATTCTGAGTTTTATGCTAAGTTTCAGCTTACATATTGGAAATCACACCATACATATGTTGAGAGCTGCTTTGAAAATAGATTTCTTATGTCAATGAAACACAAACGTTGTGACCAAAAACATTTGTATATTAGAGTGCAAATGGTGTGATTTATTATAATAGCATAAAATTTACAACAGTAATTTTCTTTTATATTAATTAACAAAATCTTATGTAAAGTTTAATTTTTACTAAAAGCATTCTTATTTTTGATTGAGGGACCAATTTAAAAATATCAAATAGTGCTATAAAGTGCCTTAATAGAACAGGAACAATGGACTAATAAATCAAATATTTGTAATTGTACATTTTGTTGAGTAAACACTCTAACAAAATAGGTGTCTACTGAACCTTAAGTTTGTATGCTTATATGCATTTTTTTCAATAAATGAGATTTTAATTTTGGATCAAATGGGGCATCACATTGATCATTACACATGAATTCAGCTTATTTCCAATGAGGTTTTCTCCAGTTATAACTGGAGAAAACCTCATTGGAAATATGTAATAAACTTCTCTATGAATTTTGCTTATAGAGGATAACTTATTTATATAGCAACATTCCATGTCTTTCAGCCAGTTTATTAAAGAGTAGCAGTCTCCATTTCTCTTACAATAATTTCTGTCCCTTCCAAAGCTATTTACTTATCTGGTAATGATATTTATTCCTCACAAAAAATGAAAATTTTTAATTTTACAACTGGCATTTATATACCTGTAACAGGTTTTTTTTTGTAGTGTGTTAGTTATCAATAATTAATGCTAACACTTTGGTTAGTTCTGAATTTTGAAATGTAAGTAAAAGTATGATTTCATTTAGATAATTTTCTTCTCTTCTCAAAAACTTTTGTATTTTAATAAAATATATCAAACTGCAATAGAATTCAAGTTATTAATTTTATTTAACAGAAAAACAAGAAATAAAAAACTTTTGTATTCTATACTTTCACAGTCACAATATAAATATTGCACTTGCACAACTTACATGCTAAAAAGAATCTCAAAAATCTCACTTTGCATTTGATCTTTGATCATTATGTAAAAAAAAAATTCTTCACAAATGTATTTAATAAAATAATTTACCAATATAATGTGCGCATTAGCATCACGAACCGCCAAGACTCGTGTGACGACCACTGCTCATTCGAAGATTGAGAATTGCTTGCAGAGTATATGGTAACATGGACCAAAACGGTTGAAGAATGGCATTATACTGAATTATTCTATCCAGGCTGAGCCTATACAAAGATTTATATTAAAAAAAATTTTTTTAATTAGTATATATACAGTTAGCTTAAAGCTTAGTTCACACCGAGTGCGATTCGCTGGCAAAAGCGAATAACCCGTCAAACGAGTCGTGTTTCACCGGTTATTCGCTCTGTTTTTCGCTTTCGCCAGTAAATCGCGCCCAGTGTGAACTAAGCTTAAGTCAGTTAAGCATTTTAAAGTATTGGGTCATTGCAAATGAAATGGCTGTTTTTTAAAATTTAAACTCTCCAGTCTTGTAATTCGACTTTTTCCATGTGAATGGTGCCGTATGTTTGCATTGGAAGAGTGCACACACAATATAAATGTGATTAATTTTCTTTTTCTATGCCATCAGAAAAAGTACTCTTAAACACGTTGAGCTTATAATTTGTGAATTTAAAAATGTATTCAGTTTTCTTTTTCAAGTATAAGCAGGGACATAATGCAGCCAGAGCAACCCAAAATACCAATTAAACTTTTGGTAAAGGTTCTGTGAGTGAGCAGGCTACCAGACATTTGTATTCCCACAAAATTTTTTAAACCAATCTCAAAAATCGTCGTCATATCAGATCACCTGACAGTCCAGATAATTGTGAACACATTGGACATTAGATGTCAAGAAATGGTCGAATAAACATAAGTTTGATAAATGGGTACCACACAAACTCAGCAAGAGATAAAGAGCATCATTTGGAGGTCTGTGGTTATTTAATTATTCGTCACAAAATGAACATATTTAAATGAAATTCTTTCCTGTCCACCTTAGGCAGATAGTCTGGAGAATATCACTTTTTTTATACATTTGGACAGTTTTCTGGCAAGGAACATCTTAATGACTTTTTGGCTTCTCATTCATGTAATTTCTATCAAATTGGCATTAATGTTGATGGAGACAATTTTGATTGAATATGTAAGTTTTAAATTAATAAACATTCAAAGTCAAGTAAAAATCAGCCATTTCATTTGCAACAACCTAATAAAGGAAAGAGCTTTATTGTAATTTCTACTAAATAAAAATTGTTTAAAAGTTCAAAACTTATTCATAAATACAAGTTATGGCATTCTAATGCATTGTTATGAATCTTCAGTTATTATTATTTTTGATGCCCCTAACTGGCTAAAATTGCTGCTGTTTATTGAAATTGTAGATAACTTGATAATTAGATAATCCATTATCTGGGAATTTTTCAGTAAATATTTCGTTCACTATTGTTCAGTTTCTCTATTGTATTTGCATCAGTTTTTTGGAGAAGTAAACTTAGTATTGTTTTCCAATTCATATTTCACAAGTGCAAAATGAAACTATATAGTTTATGTGCCCACATGAAACTGAAGCAGAAACTAAACTCATGGACAATTAAATTTTGAATAACTGCATATTATTAGTTTTATTGTTAAATATCTTAAAACAATAAAATGACTCTGGTTAACTGACTTTTAGGCCAGTATGTGTATTTATACAGATATTTAATAATTATTATAAATAAAAGTAGTAACTTTAACATATTAAAAATATTTTCTATAATTTAAATTTAAACTTGTTAAATTTTATACTTAAATTCAAACATTATTCATTATGTGTCTTTCTAGCTTTATGAAGGCCTTTGTTATTATGTTGATGCATTCTTTAAATTAAATTTGAACAAATATGTTATCTATCCGAACACATTAATAAAATATTATCATCATACACAATGCAAAATAAACAGAATTATAAAAATTTTAAAATGCAGTAGCAATTTTTTGGACTGATTCAGATCCCATATATTTTGTGTTTTTGCCAGACAAGCTTGTCAAAAACATTAAATTTTTTAAAAATTTGCAAAAATTTTTAAAAACACAAAATTTGACTATGTTCTAATTGTAGTTTAAGGCCTGTTTCTCAACCGCAGGTCCGCAACTCTAATCTAACCAGTCCACAAAAACTTTAAAAATATATATTTAACCTGTCCTGCGTTGTTCCTGAATAGGAAATAGGTGGATTATTAATCTGTTTATTCATCAGTAAACTAATAGATTGAACAACTTTGAACAGGAAAAACTAATTGAATTAAGTTCAGACTTGGGATTAAAAACATTGTTTGAATCAATGCCCATAACACAGTTTTGGATTAAAGTTAAAACTGAATATCCAGTTTTACATGAAAAGGCAGTTAGGATGTTACTACCTTTTTCAACAACGTACTTATGTGAATCAACATTTTCAGCAATGGCAATGATAAAATCGAAACAACGAAATCGTTTAAGTGTTAGTTCTGCCTTATGCCTTGCAGTTACCACCTTAAAGCCAAGAATTGATGATCTTACTAGCAAAAAAGAAAAGCAACGATCACATTGATTGTATACTAATGTACTGGTAAATAAATAACAAATATTTATTGCTCAATGTAGTTTGCAGTTCTTTTTACAACAGAGAATTTTTTTCAATTAAAAATAATATTGTCACTGGTCTGCGATGAGTTTTAGGTTGAGAAACACTGGTTTAAGGCAATGGTATATAACTGAAGTGACTGCACCAGAATAAACTAATCTGTGTATAGTGAACATATTTTGGTGACAAGTATGTATTATGGATAATGTAAGGTATTTTTCTGAGTTGTTTTGATCTGTATAGGGTACATGGGGGACTCAAAAGTAACGGGAATAATTTTGTGGAGGGTAGGAAGTTCGTAATATGCATATCCATCGCTAGATCTTGGTAGACAGAATCTTCTGGAATCGGTATGCAAAGAGGCATCAGTGTGTTGAGACGTGTTGGCCCGTAGCAATTTCTTTTTGACAGAGCTATTTTATTGTTTTCATCAAAAATGTGATGTCAGATTTTAAAGAACAATGCCCTGCTGTGAAATTCTGTTTCCTGTTAGGGAAAAGTGGATCAGAAACAGTTAAAATGATTCAACTGCTTATAAACAAGATGCCTTGAGTCAAGTAAGACAAGAGTTACTCATGGCATCTTGTTTGAGTATGGTTTTCCTGCTTTCAAAAAGGAGAAATGTCTCTTGAAGATCAACCCAGGTCTTGAACATCACGTTGTCCATCCAACATTCAAACTGATGAAAGTGTTGAGAAAATTGCAATCTTATTAACAAAGATCACCATCGAACCATTGATGAGTCTGGGATTTCATGGAGTTCAATTCAGTGAATTTTGTCACAAGAACTTGGCATAAGAAGCATTTCCATGAAGTTTGTTCTGATCCGTGCTTGTTGACCACCAATCAGAAAGGCAATCGCTTGGCAACTTGTCAGGCTTTGAAAGAACATTTGGAAAATGATTCAGACTTGTTTTCTATAGTGATAACTGGTGATGAATCATGGTGTTATGGTTACAATCCAGAAACCAAACATCAATCCAGCCAGTGGAAAACATCAGGATCTCCACTTGTCTTGCTTTTTTTTGAGAAGAGAAGTTGAATGTGAAAACCATGTTAACCTGGTTTTTTTTTTACGTGAAAGGAATTGTTCATACCGAATTCGCCCATCCAGGCTAGACAGTCAATCAACATTGTTATCCAGAAGTTCTCAAAGATTTTGTGATGCTGTGAGAAGGAAAAGAAAGGACTTGTGGCAAACGGGGGATTGGTTTTTCCATCATGACAATGCACCCACTCACAAGACAGTCTCTGTGCAGCAGTTTTTCACAAGAAACGGCATCCACCCCTATTCGCCTGATCATGCACCTTGCAATTTTTTTTGTTCCCCAAGATGAAAAAAGAACTCAAAGGAAAGCAATTTCAGACAGTAGAAGAGCTGAAAACAAAAACAACAGAGGTGCTAAGAAGCATTTTGGAACAGGAATTTTCTAGGTGTTTTGAACAATGGAAAAAATGTTTGGACAAATGTATTGAGGCAAATGCAGAGTATTTTGAAGATTAAAATATGAAGTTGTTAAAATACAATTTTTCTGAATTTTTTTCCATTATTTTTGGGTCCCCACATATTTAGTGAATGTTTCTTAGATTCATTGGGAGAAGCACAAAATTGCTATGTAGACTTATCACACAAAGTAAAACGTAAGTGTTAGAACTTTCTAAAAAAGATTGAAAAAACACAAAAACCTTAAAAACTGATTTTTATAGCTTTTATTTTAGTGGTTTTATTGATTCATTTTTACTGGTTTTACCCTCTGTTTTTGCTTGAACTCATCAAACTTGTTGTTTGAGGTGTTCAAGCATTTTGTTTACGGAATAAGATTGCCATGTATAATCGTTCTTTTCTGCTCAGCAATTCTGTAACAGTGAGATATGGATATTTTTGTGAGAATCTGTTAAGTAGTATCTACTGTAGGTGTCATGTGTGATTCCAGTTTTGTGATGATAATGTAGGTATACATGGTGAATTTGTTCATATCTTGAGACCACTTCATCCATTGGTGTGGTTTTCTGGCCTTGGTGGTCAGTGGCTGAATTATTTGCCTTCATTGGCAAATAATACAGCCAGTATTGAGTTGGTGTGTGTTGTGTATGAGTAAGGGAGTGAACGTGTTTATGGTGCAACAGCTATAATTGGGTCAGTGCTGTCTTTACTACTAGTGATCAAAGAAAACTAACAGATTTTTTTGAATATGAACTTCTGCCTAATTCACACGTATGGTCTTTTAACCTGAGAATATTCAAGCCAAGTATTAAGACAAGTGTGTTGAAACTGTTTTCTCCTCCACAGAAGTGGATGCAGTTGCATACCTAAAGCTAGACATTTAGAAACCAGCTCTTCATTCTTGTTCAGATTTTGCTTAATTCTTCCCGTAGATCATACTGGCATGGGTGGATCTACTGGAAGTTTATCCTGCCAACATTGCTCTAAGATTTATTGGAACTACTGAGCTCTCTCACCTCAACAAGCTAATGACTAGTGACAGCATCAATTTTTATTAATTAAACCAAAAAAATTTGTCACTAACTAAGTAAAAAGTAGATTAAAAGATACCAGCTAATAGTGAAAATGCAATCTCTTGAAATTTAATTCTACCTTTTTCATAATTTTAAGTAATTTTATGTATTTCAAGTTACAACTGGCTAATATTCAGACCAATATAGTAGATAAATCAATCTTTTTTCCCAGTTTTAAGGGAAGAAAAAAAATTTATTTTGGACTTTCTATGGTCCTGTTGTTTAGAGTTAAACAGACACTAAAATTCAGTGTGCCAGTTGTTTAGCAACACTAAATATCATTGTATTTGTGATCTATCATAATTCCTTCATAGTTTGCAAGCAGCAAGTGTTTAGCACAGTTGAAATCATCAATTAGTCAATGTTCTAAAACTAAGCTGACTGTTTTTATTGTACTCAACAAAATCAGTCAGCTTTAGTAACTTTTTTTATTGTAGTCCTACCAGTTACTAATAATCAAGTGATTGTCAAAAATTGGGAAAAGATGTATTTGATATAATAATGTGTTTTAGACGATTATAAAAAACAATAAGACAATAAAAATGAAACAAAGTTTTTGTTTCAGTTTCATTGTCAACAGTCACAAAACTAAGTACACTTTCTAGAACAGCAATTGCCAACTTTTCTGACCTCATGGATCACTAAACTCACAATTTTGAATCCCACAGCCCATCATAAATTTTTTAAACAATACAATCATCTTTAGAATAATAATCATAAAAGTTCCATTTTACTTTATTAATCAACACATTGCATCAAGTTTATAATTGTATATACTATCATATTAATATGATGATGAAAACATGTGCTTAAAGTAAATATTTTAGATTAAAAGAATGCTTTATGTTAACTTATCAGTTTAGTGTTGCATGGCAAATTGTATGATATGCCTACTTACTTATACGTATGATTTAATTTGAATTTTCCAAACTATGTAATAATAATTATTAATTGGTTTGTAAATTACGGTTTTATTTTGGGTGTAATAATTTTTAGGGAAATTTTGGGTCCTGAAAATATTCTGCATGCCTTTTCATAAGTTGCATTGTACAATATTATTTCTTGATGTCTTCAGACGGCTACACGTGGTCTGTCCTATTGTGAGCAAAAAAAAAAACAAGGCAGCAAAGGAAGCAAATTCCCAGACTTTTTGACAATTTTTGTCATTTTCCCAGACTTTCCATGACTTTTTCCAAACACAAATGAAAATCCCTGACTTTCCAGGTGTGTAGGAGACCTGTATATAGAATAATTAATTTAATTTAAAATATATGTCTCCACCTCAAATTAGTGGCTTACCCCTGTACATCATACTTTTCCTTTAACAACAGAGTTGTGCCAGTCATCTATCTAACACCTTTCAGGGGAAACTTTTTGAATTGAAATAACATGTCTTCCAGTTTGCATCAGAAGTTCTTATATAGTCAATTGGGGCTTCCTGTCCAAGGTTTCCATATCTGGTTTTATCTTTCATCTAACTAACTCCATTCTCAAGATTAAAGAAAGACAGATGAACAACAGTGGAAATTTATAGATCTACAATTTTTTCAAATTGCATTCCAATAAATGATATCAGTGTGTCAACCTAAAATCTGTGGTGTGATTGTCCTTTAAATATAACAATGTTGTTATTGTACACGTAAAGAAATAAACTACAGGATGAAAAGCTTTACCATACAATTACAAATTTAATTTTACTAACTTGTGTGGAAAATGTGACACTAAATCATAATCTTATGTAATGTGAAAGGTTTAAATATAAGTACTTTATTTAATTATTATTATTATTATTATTATTTAAATAACAAAATTATCTAAATTAAAAAAGTTAATAATGAAATCAGCAAGATTTCTCCAAAACTAATAATAAGAATTCATATTTCTTTGTATTAAATTGATGTAATATATTAAAACAAACCTGAATAAAGTCTTTGGTGAAAATCTCAAAATAATAAGATTGCTTGCATGTTCCTGAAAAATCAACACATTTATTAAAAATTATTATCTTTTTATAGATTATTTGTAAATGTAAAATTGAAATAAAGACTTTTAATTTATTAAATAATTGTCCTAAAATAATTTGAAAATAATATACTGAACACTACTAATATATTAATTAATATGCTGAAAATATTAATTGGATTTCCTTAAAATTTATAAAATTTAAAAGTAAAATAAATCAATGAGAATGTTATTTTATTCTTTAATCCGTTCATACGTCATTCTAACTTCAAAAATGATCTGACTATAAATAATTTGTGCTAAGAAATAAGAACAAAAATATTTAAACTTTTTTCTGACTTTTTACTTTATTACATAGATTGTTGTTTTTATTAAACCATTAACTGAATAAAATGAATTACAAACTCGCATTTAAGTCAGCAGACAAAGTAATTATAAATCAATCAGCTAACAATATACTTTAAATCATTTCATGATTGTTTGTGTGTTGCATTAATTGCAAATTATTAAATAATATAACTGATAAATTTTACTAACTATACTCTGCATTAATGGGGAACCTAAAATAGTTACCCTATTCTCTTGCTAATAGTCTGTCCTTATCTATAGTCCACACAACAGTATTTTACAAGCTTTTTATTTCAAAATTTTATGTATTGTCCACAGAAAATACAGTGAGTGAAATTGTTGATAACAGCTTAATTTCACTGCTCCCCAGCAATAGCAAATCCTTAATGGATTTGTTCTCATTAGCATGTGACTAGTTACTGGAAACATTGCATCTTATAGGTTTTTGCTATTTTGGAGATTTTTGATGTGGTAGTAAGGAAAGATTGTGGAAAATCTTTATTTTTCATGAAATTTTCATGTTTTTCAATCAATTTTATGAAGAATATTTGTAAGTAAAATTGCTGTTTTATAATGAGTCTAAAATGAAGTTCTTCTATTAGTGAACACAAAGAGATGCACAATGAAGTAGCTGTTGAAGTGGAGACATTATCAATAGACTCATCTCAATTAATATTATAAAAGACATCATCTGTGTGTATGTTTGTGAATTCCCTATAACTACTATTTTTGTCCAGTTCAGGTAAAATTTTGTTTATATTCTTTTTATGTTCCAACAAAAAATAGAGGCTACTTAATTTGCAGAAATATTAGCTATAAAAAAGGTTTTATCAACTTCAGCTCAGTGATATCACTTACATTCCAGTGATATTGGTGATGCCATTTACCTGAAGTTTCATTTTTAAATATTTTGGCAAATGGTATAATTTTAAATCTATTAAATTTAAAAAAAATACCTACATCATTTTGCTTTTACAATAAATTTTTTTTTAAAAACTTTCCATAGTGACCACATGATGTTCTATTATCCAACTGGAAGTAATGATCTAACAAACCTGTTAATTAAAATGTATTATCACTCATCACTTATGTATCAACAGACAGTGTAGGCTACTTAATATGTAGAAATATTAGCTACAAATTAGCATTATTTATATGAAAATGTGGTTCATATCTTGTTCAGATAGAAAATTTATTTATTTCACTCAAATATATAAACAAACATACTTGAATCTATTCAGATTCAAGTATATTTGTTTATATATTTGTTTATATGTTTGTTTATATATTAAAGTGAAAACATAATTCTTAGAATAAAATGCTGAGATACATAAACATACTTGAATCTGTTTAGATTCAAGTATGTTTATGTATCTCATTTTATTCTAAGAATTATGTTTTCACTTTAATATACATAACCATACTTGAATCTGAATAGATTCAAGTATGTTTATGTATCTCAGCATTTTATTCTAAGAATTATATTTTCACTTTAATATGAAATAATTTCTCAATTCTCATCAGTTGAACTGTTAAATCATAATCATTCTACAATAAATGTTTGCCCCTTGATCAGCAAAATTGAAAGACTTAAATCCAATTGAAAATATTTAGAGAAAATTGATGATTAAGATATTTTAATCTAGTTTATAAAATCTGGGAATATTTAAGGAAACAATCACTTGTCTTTATTAAGTTAATGCAATCAATGGATTAAAAAGTGATTGATGCAACTGGCAACTGAACAACTTAAGTTATATTTGGATAACATCACCAAACGCCATTATCTGAAATAATTCATATTTCATTTCAGTAATAGCAATATAAGTTAAATTTTGAACAGTTTATAACTAATGTTAATACTATATGAATAACAAAATTTATAAAATCAATAAATCTTACAACTAACTACTTTAAAACATGTTTAAAAAAATATTTTGATTCTACTTATACTTATCTCCAATTATTTGGTAATTTAAATGATAAAAACATTTAAAATAAATTAAAGCACAATTACTATACAGTGGGTGATTGGTTAACGAACAGTTCGGACTACAAACAAATCAGATAAACACTTTTGTGAAAGATTTTTATGTTTGGATAACGAACACCTCACAGAACAAACACAAGAGGAAGTGACATAAAATAATGAATACCAATTGGTCTTCCCTTGTCTTCAGGCTACAATTCAAAACTTTTCGGAGTGCGGGAGACATCAACATCGATGCTCAATCTGGTATATATTGATCAGATAGTATTCCTCCAAACTTTGAAACTCTCCCTTGTAATTCCAGCCTTTTATTTTTCTCACAGAAACAATATTTTTTAAAGTATTCACAAGACTCTCGGGCAAGCATTTGTTAAGTTTTGCATCAGTTTTTATTTTTAAAGGTGAGAGTATAATAGCAAAGGAAGAGAATGGGCAGAAGATGTCTGATGTTGCTAGACAGTATGGCATGAACAGGTCTACAGTAAACTGCAGTTCAGTCTTATCAAAGAAAGATACAGTATAATCAAGAAGACTCAAGCAGCTTAAGGAGTAACAAAAATCACATCTGAGAAATAAAGAACATTGAAGAGCTCATAATGGAACCTGAAACTGATCTGATGGCAGAATAACGCCAAGAACTCTTGAATGAAGAACACCAAGAAACTCAGCGAAATATATTTTCTTCTGTAAAAGAGGATTAATGCTGATATCTGCTATTAAACATCTTTTGAAGAAGTGGGAGGATGTCAGAACAATGGTCTTAGAGTAGCATCCAAATCAGGTTGAGATTAATATGCTTGTGGATCTCTACAATTATAATGCTATTAATTCTTAAAAATCGTGAAGAGAGAAAAGCAATCAACATTAGACAGATTCTTTAACCCCCACAAACGGAGAAAACATGACTAATAAAAATACAAGACTCTGTATATATGTATTTTTATTATTACATATAAATGAATGTAGTAAGAAAGTATATATTTTCTATTTTTGGGTGTCTCCAGAATGAATTAATCAAATTCACATACAAACCTATGGTAAATTGATAATCGGTTAACGAACAATCCGGATAGCGAACAAAGTCTTGGAATGGATTATGTTCGTTAACCAATCATCCACTGTATATATATATATATATATGTAATCACCAAAATAAACATAGTAAGAAAGTATATATTTTTAATTTTTTTGGAGTTTCCAGAATGAATTAATCAAATTCCTATAAAACCTATGGTAAATCAATAATTGGTTAATGAACAATTCGGATAGCGAACAAAGTCTTGGAATGGATAATGTTTGTTAACCAATCACCCACTGTATTTAATGATAACTTCATTGTTTTTATATTTCATAAAAAACTATTATTATTAAGTAAAAAGTAAATAGTTGGAACAATAGCATCACCAAATGTTCCATGGATAACTCTGAAAACTTAACTCTTGTTACAAAAATAATTTATTTAATCTAAATTTATTCAAAAAATTTCTTAACAAATCAGAATAAATAAGTTTCCTCAAAGAATATTTCTAAATTAAAGTGATATTCAATGAATAGTGTCTGGATAGCTAATTTTGTCAGATATAATGACATCATCATCACCACCCTGACTGGCCTTCAATGGCAATTTACATTTTTGCCAATTAAATTCTTGATGTACAGTACAGTACTGAAAGGATCAATTATACTACAGAACTATCTTCAGCTCTCAAATAAAACAGTATGTAATCTTCAGTTATCAAAACTTAATTAATCTTAATTGATTGACTAATCTTAAAAATTTATAAACTTTTAATTAAGCATGCACTGATTTTTAGAATTCAGCAAAAATAGCAAATAATTATTATATTGAATATCAAAAAATAACTCTTTACAGTAGAACTTTGTTAAGAAGTTTTTCAAGAAACAAATTCAAAAAACTTTTTAAGCAGAAATGAAAATAATACAGCTTTTCTTTCAATAATCCATATTGATTTAAAATTTTCTATTATACTAGCTGTTACCAATGACTTTGCCCGTGGGAGTTTTGCAAGCAAATCCCATTTATATTCAGTATTTCAACAACCATAGTAAATGTTATATAACACCTACCGCTGAGAATCAAACGAATTATTTTCAATTTGATCAATTTTCTGGAATGTTTACAATCGTTCTATAATTGAACCAATATGCAATAACAAATTCGAATTTAAAATGGTTCGAACATTTGGTTAAAAAATCAAAATATATAAAAGTATTTATAACAATGTCTGAAATGTTATCAATTTAATACACGTAAATACTCAATGAAGACTAAACATAGTTGAAAACAAAAAATTTGCATCTGAAATAGTACAGTAGAAGCCGTTCTTCAGGTTAAGCCTTAATGCTCCCCTCTCCCCCGCGAGGGAATTTTGAAAAATCCCTTCTTAGTGTGCGTTTTCATGATGTACCCTAACTGTGTACCAAATTTCACCTCTAGGTTCAGTGGTTTGCTCTGGGCGATGATGAATCAGTCAATCTCTCACTCAGTCAGTCAGGACAAGTAATTTTATATATGTAGATTACAATGAATTTAGGCTTATATAGTATCTATTAATTTAGATATTTGTCTAACATAGCCTGCTTCATCTGCTGTTTTGTTATGTAAAAGAAAATGCATTTTATGATTCCCTCAAACAAAATCACAGATCTACAAATACTGTACTAAAATTTGTTGAAGACTTACAGTATCATCTACATATAGCATTTTTCAGAACTTGCTGTTTGCTCAAGCATTGCTGCAGATAACCATCTAAGAAAATTGTAAAAGCCATGTTCTAGCTAGCAATGACACAAAATTTTCTGTATTTCCAAATGTAATTGTTTTCTTTTTCCATATGTAATTAAATGTAGAAAATTTTTGAAGGGATGCAATTGAAAAATTTCATAAGCATATCTGTTTTCCAGTCATGGACAAGTTCTGTATATTTAGGTGGAAACTTTTCTTAAACAGGAGCATTTTATACAGGAAAAATTAACACATCTCTTATGGAGAAAAAGTGGGGACTTTTGAAATATAACTTCTTACATGAGGAAACTTCTAATGCAGAACTTCTTAACTGAGTCCTACTGTATTTCATATATGATCATCTATAATATTTCAATGAGTAAATAATCACAAACTATTGTTTTTTATTTTAAATAAATTTATATATTATAAATACATAACTGGAATATATTTCTATAGACTTAATTCATATAATACTACTTACTGCTACAATTGTCCGATTAAGAATATTCTCTGTGCAACCACCATAAATAATTACTTCTCCATATGAAGTAAGACATGCAGTATGCCACAATCGAGGCTTTGTAAAAGATAAATCCACTTGTAACCAGGTTAGAGTTGATATATTCAATTGCCAACAATCACCTACATTAATAATTTCATTTTAAAAATTTAATGATTTTTAAATACACATAAATATATTTCAAATTAAATACTCTCCAAAAATATAGATAAGAAAACAATAGTAAACCTACTATTTTCTTACCTATATTTCTGTAGTACATAAACCTACTATAGAAAAGAAATTAAATATCTATTCATTTAATTTTTGAATAGCTTAATTTTTCACATACTCAAAGGCTCATTATGTTGACTAAAACCTCCATACAGAAGAATCACATCTTGTGAAATTGTTGTCAAACTATGCCATGATCTACCTTGAGGTTGTGGGCCTAATGTAGACAATCTGTTACATAAAATTTGTAAATTAGATTTTTTTTCTGGATTATTTCAATAATTTAATAAAAAAAATATTATCTTTGTATTTTACGGTTTTGTTAGTGACATTTACATATTATATAATAATTTAATATGTAAATTTTTAACATACACAATAAAATTTGTTCAACTGTATTTTATAATAAATTTGATAATTTAACCAAATTTTTATATTTTGTATAATAAATTATAAAAAAACCAGCATAAATAATTCTAAACAATATAAATTATTAAATTTTATACGCTCTATAAAAGCTCACTTTCCACTCCATGTCATAGTTTCCAAATTCAAGCAATGAGTATCATTTTGACGAACATGTTGATGTCTTCCACCAAAAATATAAACAAAATGTCCAACACGGCAAGCTGCATGAGCTGCACGAGCATCTGGCACAGGTCCCTTTGAAAAAAAATACTTTAAAAATAAATTTTTTAATAATTATAATTACTTTAAAATCATAATAATGATTTATAGTATTAACATAGTTAATTGAAATATTAAATACTTTAATAAAAAAATATATATTGTAAAATGAAATTCTGACTTATTAAATCAATATTTTGAAAAATTTTGAAGTCACTAACATTGTATTCTGGCCAACTCCAAATACCCTTTTCTGTATCAAACATAACTAATTGATTGTTCCAACCTCTTCTATACATCTATAAAAAATTAACACAAAAAGTTATATTTTTATATAATTTTATTTTAAAATTGCATGTAAAAAAATTATATATTTACAAATAAACTTTAAATAATATTTTTAAAATGTTCAATATAAAAGTAACTAACCCAGGGAGTTGTTGGATCTAACACAAATTGAAAATCAGGTTGTTTCTTAATTCCAAAAGTTGGCAAAACACCAAATCCACCAAAAAAGTAAATTCTATTAAGGAAAGGAAAAAAATAACAGAATTATTTAAGAATAAAAAAAGATAATAAATCAAGTTAAATTATAGATATGTTTCAAATTATTTTAATTAGATTAATTAAATATTATATTTAGAGCAAACTCAATATAGTTTTATTCCTAACAAACTTTTATGAATGAAATATTTAGTTCAACCTCACACAACAACAACAAAAATAAATGAATATTTCCTAAAAATTTATAAACCATTTGTTGACATTACAGTGGTACCTCAGGATACGAAATTAATCCGTTCCGAAACTGAGATCGTATCATGAAAATGTCGTAAGGTGGATCATCTTTTCCCATACGATTACATGTAAAACCAAATAATTTGTTCCAACGCGAAAAACATACTCAAATTAAAGCCAAGTAATACATTAAAAAAAATAACTGTAGTAAGAAAAACAAATGAAAAATGCAAACTAATGTAACGTAGTATGGTGAGTTTTTGTTCGTATCGTGGAGCGAAAATATGTTCAAATTTCATGTCATATCCTGAAAATTTCGTATGCTGGGGCGTTCGTAACCTGAGGTACCACTGTATAGTTATTTTTAAAAATGTCTAATGTATTATTAATATCATTAAGAACTGCATCACAATGCATAATGTTTTATTCAAAAACTTCATATTAAATTAAAGATGTTTAAAAACTGAAATAGCTTACTAATAAATTTCTCAAAACTAACAGTTCCTTAAGGGGGGAAAAATCAATCTACATTTCTTCATATTTCAAATTCAGAATTTTAAATAAAATAGCCATCAACAGCCATTCAATGTATTCTCATTTTACTTTCCAATTTTCTTTATCAACATAACTTAAATTTGTCTTCTCGCAACAGAAAAGTATTAAATTATTAACCAAGATATTGCTTTTAAACTTTTATTCTTATTGTCTATAAATGATTCATTTTAAGTTATAAAATTCTATTTTAAAAAATTATTTTTCATTTTTTTGATTCTTCCTTCAATTTCCATTCATAGTTAAAATTTTATGACAAATTTAATTCCTTCACTATTAATTCAATTTAACTTGAGATAGGCTTTTAACCATTGAATTGTAAAATTTAAAAATGTCTTACTTATCTTTGTATTCCCATCCAACCATTTTATCAGATGGGGTTGGAGGAGATCCCTTGGGTTCAATATAAGTCCATTCCAGAGTTTCTAAATTAAGCCTGTATAAATCATTAGTGTTTCCATTATCACAATAACCTCCAAATAAATACATGTAATCTGATACCATAACAGCAGTAGCACCAGAGGTACCCGGTGGTGGGGTTCCATGACATATTTTTAATAACCTATAAAGCATTTTTATTAAGTATTTTAAATATAATATTTAAAAAATTAGTATTTAATTTACAATAACTAAAATAGTAAAAGTATTCACCATTTTTCTGTAAGTGGATCATATATCCATAATTCTGAACCTGGAAGATATCTGTTGTTATTCACATTTGCAGCTTCCTGAGGAACAAAATCTATATTTAAACAATAATGAAATTACTTATAAAATAATGTAATTATAACTTTCATTAATATTAATCATCCATTTTTATATCTATTATTGAAGACACACTGTAGGCCGAACATTTTATATCCAAATTTCATCACCATCGGTACCAACTCAACCGTAACTTGTACCAGAGGAAAAACAGATTTTCAACGTCAGTGCTACCAGAACGGTTGCCAATAGAGTACTTCTAGCACTAGCAGTCTTGTATAAACTATTTATAAACAGCTTTAACTTTATACTAAGAATTGTAGCATCAGATTATATAGTAATATTGCAGTAATATGATGTTTATTTGTTAAGAATAATATCTAATAACTTCATCAAATCTAACATATAAAATAGTAACAGGGGCCGGCTCAATGAATGAGGCCTCAGGCAGCAAAAACAAGAGGAGCAACAAAATGAAGTGGGCAAAAGTGTTTAAAAAGGAGAAGAATAAACAACAATTAAAATACTAAGCCAAATAAAGTAAAGTCCATAAACGTACCATATTTTATGGCACATCAGATGCAACTTTTGTCCAACAACAGATTCAAAAAAAAATTTTCCCAGCATTTTATATATAAATAATCTTCCATAGGCTAGCAATACCCAAACGGATTAAATCCAGCTCGCAAATAAAAATGTTTTTTCCTCCTATAACCAAGTAAATTTACACGTGTATTCGGGTCAAATATTTAAACAATAGATTTTAATTGTAAATGAGTTCCTTTTAAAGTCCTCTCTTTTCCCCAATAAATAAAAATATGCATTCTAATTTCAGGGACGACAGATTCAATAGGGACTTAGTTTATATTGGCTCCACCATCTGGTCAACACAGAAACAAATGCGTAAACACCAAGCTGATATTAAACATAAAAAGACACACCACCGCCTTATCGACCTACATCACCGACCCTGAAATAAGGGAGGACTTCCGGAACACCAGACTTCTCAGACAAGCATTCCGTGCGGATCACATCCATCACCTGGAGGCCTGGGAGATTCATAAAGCTATCAGGGGGGGCAACTGCATCAACTACAAGGAAGGGGAAACGCTTGCACAGGCGTGGAAGTATTTGTTCGAGGAATTCGAACAGTGTCAGTCGGAGGGGTGAAACCCGACGCACATATTTATTTATTTACATCGTTGGCAACATCGTTACGACGGTCGGGTCAAAACACGGCCAGTCACCACCTGAAGCAGACCTCGGTGGAGGTCGAAAATACTTGTGGAATTTACTAGTGACATAACACTCGTAAAAAAAGGTTTTTCGTGGATTGTTATTCTAATTTTATTTTTTTGAACCCGAATACGGTAAAAAATTTTCGGGGCCAAGCATCAAAGGACACGGGATGGTTTAAATACATTAAATACTCCCTCCTCTAAATATTCCAGGCCGAAACAGGACATCTTACACGCCATAAAATATGGTACTTTAAAATTACAGTTCCAAACGCGAGGTTAGGACTCCCCTATAGTATTTTACTCCTACAAGCATTGTCTACAGTTCTGATAACTTCCCATTCATTCATTCATTAAGAACGAGGCAATTAGGACCTTATCAGAACTATACACCAGGCCCATAGGAGTAAGAATGCTTATTGTTTTAGTAGAGTAGACAAAGCTCTCAATTTATATTCACAGTTCCTTTTAGTCTTTTGTTCTTATAAATATGTCCTAGCATAGGGATGTGCTGTCCTCCCTAAAAGCACATGCTACAGAGTAATTATTGTATTAATTATTTAATTTACAGAAACGTAAGAAATGATTATATAAGCTTCACGTCGTCATATGGTTTGTATTTAAATAGAATTCGAATAAAAATAACTTAATTTGCACCTAAAAATTTGTAAACAAAAGTATGACGCACTTGACTTGACAAATACGCAATTCGCTCTATCTAACGTATTAATGTTTTACTCGATTATCTGTAGACGTTTATAAAGACTTAAATGAACTCACTCACTTTATATCCTCCCCAAACAAGCATACAATTCTTATAAAAGACTGCAACATGACCAGTTCTTCCTGACGGCTGTTCATACGCCATTGTTTTCGCGTTAATTTTTAGCTCCAGATGGCGCTGCATTTACGAAATTTACCAGACGATACGACTAATTAACAAAAAAAAAAAAAAAAACAAAAACAAAAATATGATGCGCGGTTCGTATACTCAAAAATTAATATATTTACATGTATAATAAAAATAAATTTAATTTATTTATAAGTATTAATTTATTCTTATTCGATGTGAACTATTGAAATTATAAATTTCTGAATTTTTTTAATTCTCTCGACCCCGTGGGCACTAAGAGAACCTTTTTATATAAGCCCATTATCGGTTCGTCCAGGCCTAAGATTGAGCAGTCGGATAGTGAAGAACGGAGCCCGATATATTCGGACAGATTAAAACCCTGAAAAATTCAAAAATCTTTGACTCCGCGTGTGTTCGATTCCGGGTCCCCTAGAACAGTAGATTGCCGCTTTAACCACACGGCCATCCGGTTGTTAAGAAAGTGAATTTGAATATATCGGCAACGAATGGGATACTTTTAAATAAATAATGCGAAAAATAAATTTAAAAAAAGCTATATGTAAAATAAATTTGGAGATTAATAATATTCTAGATCGAAACATTCGATCGGACAGTTTTTGGTTAGGTTTAAATGGGCGATACTTATCAACAGAAATAGATGGACGAGATTGGAAAAATGTTGCGGAGATAGAGTGGGACAGGAAGGAAATCAATAAAAACACGATACTGAGAGAGTTTAATAAAAATTTTAAAATAGGTCAACCTCTTTACCACCGAGTACAGCGGTCGGATGGCCGCGCGGTCAAGGTGGCAGCCTACCGCTCTAGGGGACCCGGGCTCGAATCCGAACGGGTCGAAAAATCCCCAGGAATTTTTCGGGGGGTGGCCCGTTCGGATATGTCGGGCCCCGTCCCTCACCACCCGGCAGCCCCATTGTGGGCCTGGCCGAACCCATAATGGGCCTACTTTAAGAGGCCCTCTTAGTGCCCACAAGGCGGAAAGAGTTTAAAAAAAAACACCGAGTACAAGTCGAAAATTACGAGGTTTTACGAATTATCAACATTGTTTCACAAGTAAACGGAAGAAATAAATCCGATCTTTTCAGGCAATAGATCGCGATCACTCGGCAGTAAGATAATATACTAAAGCGTTAAAGACAAATTTTTAAAAAAAATATGCAAAAAAGTATATTGGGGAGAAAATATGAATACAGAAACAATATTCGAGTGAAAAAAATGAATGGCAAAATGGCTCCGTAGACATCATCTCCCGTCTAATTTATATCTGAAGATACGAATGACATCACGCTCTACATGATTTTAATAACGTTACACTTCCGTGATTCTTAATTAAGTCAAATGATGGAAAAAGGACATTATAGCTAAATTATTTTAACTGTAAAATTTAACATTGTAAACTATAATCTATTCGAAGGTGAAGCGTCATTCATCAAACAGTTACAGATTTGTAATTCCGAAAAAAAATTGATACATTCATTAATAATTTATTCGATATTTGACTGATCTAAATGATATTTTTATTACATTGAAGCATTCATTTTTTAATTACCTTTTTTTAAAAAGATAATAGATCAATTTTAATCGTGGATATTTTATATCGAAGTAGAATCATTTAAATTTTAAAGACGTTATTAAAATTTAGTAGAAAAATAATATTAAAGTCTGAGTTATAATCTGTAAACTTTTATCTCCGGGCAAAATTATAGAAAATTTTTTTACAACGTTTGTGAATTTAAAGTAAAATCTTATATTCTAAAATTATAAATAATCCATTATAAAAAATAAATTCTAAAAACATAATATATTGTATTAATCATGAATATATTGTATTAATGTTTTATAAGCCTCCATGACTATAGTATCAAATCAATTAAATTTTGAATTATCATTTTTTAAATAATATTTAATTTTTATTTGCATTTTCCATTCTTCTACTGATTCTAATTTACTAGAATCGATAAATTCTAGTAAATTAGAATTTAGTAGCTGTAATGCAATGATGTAGGTCAATCCTATTAATATTGTCTTCTTATCATCTAATGGTAAGAAGACAAAGAAATCTTTGTTTTTTTTAAAGAATATTGGATCTTTAAGAAACTCGGTTGGGTTTTTTTTTAACTCTTTCCGTCCTGTGGGCACTAAGAGGGCCTCTACTAGCAGGCCCATTATGGGTTCGGCCAGGCCCACAATGGAGCGGCCGGATGGTGAGGGACGGGGACCGACATATCCGGTTGGATCACCCCCCGAAAATTCCTGGTGAGACTGCCACCTTGACCGCTCGGCCATCCGGCCAGTGAACTCGGTTAGGTATGGAGGAAAGTCTTTTCTCCATAACAATCTGGTCAAGTCCACAAGGGAGAATAATGAGGGGCCAAACATATCCGAGACGGACTTACCATGGTTTCTGCAGTCTTTCAACTTTCAGGTTTCGATTTTGATTTTCTAAGAGCGATAGGCTGATGCCATAATCTCAACTATCCGATTGTCACTCATAATAAATATAATAAATCAAACCAACGAACTTGCATAAAACGAATAAAATTGTATAATATCAAATTATTTTCGTGCCATTTGTGTACGCTGTCTAATGTTATTCACGCAAAATAGTAAAAAAGATTACAAATAGAGAGAATCAATAGCATATCCGGGAATCCTTAGAGGAGGTGCAGAAAGGAAACAATATGCCTCATAAATTTTTATTAATACCCGAGGTATCTGGCTTTACTCGAGAAAAACTCACAGAAGGGGATGCAGCTGAGCCTTGCGCAACCCCCAAATCAGATTCGAGTTAAAGCTTCCACTATAGCCATTGCAATTTATCAGTAGTTTATTCGTTTGAATGATTGATTTGTCAACAAGGGGTACTAGAGCTTTAAAAGTTATATAGATTGATGGTTAATTTTTTGGAGCACGAAAATCACAAAGTAAATGTTCATCAAAATAAAAAATAGATAAATAAACAAACAAACGTCATTTATAAACACAAAATTCAGACAAAAACGATAACAACGTTCAAAAGAAAACGAGCAATTATTTATTGTGACATGGTCACAATGCCGGACTACAATTTTTAATCATATTTTTAATTTATATTAATTTAAAATATGATTAAAATATATGCTCTCCACCTCAAATTAGTAGTACATCATACTTTTTCTTTAATAATGGACTCATGCCAGTCATTTATCTAACACCTTTTGGGAAAAACTTTTGAATTGAAATAACATGTCTTCCGGTTTGCATCGGAAGATCTTATATAGTCAATTGGGGCTTTCTGCTCCTAAGGTATCGTCTTTCATCTATTTCACTCCATTCTCGAAATTAAGAAAAGACGACAGACGAACGGACGACAGGAAATTTATACGCCTACAATTTTTTCAGATTGTAGCTCAACAACGACAACAAACACGCTACAAGTAATAAGTATTGTACAAACAGAACACCAATTACACAAATACTAAATTAATTAGGAATACCTAAAAGTATCTGATGATGGATGAGTTTACTATCTTGATTGAGAGGTTCCGAGTTTTCTATAGATTCCGATTGTTTTCCTTTTGAGTATCTAAATAAAAATTGAAAATTGACAAGATAAAGAGCTTCCCCTTTGTTCCCTTATAGATATCCCACTGTTGAAACTTGATCCTCATCCTCGCCTACTGTGTCTTCGAATCTTTTCCTCGGTCTTCTTGGTACTCTCTTTCGTTTCGATTTCCAGAGAAAAGATGCATATCTTAAATACTGTATTGAACTTAAAAAAATATGAAATTCTTTATGTTTAACAAATTATTATTTAAAAAACCACTAGTGTTTAGTGGTTTTATCCATCGGCCACTGGTGTTTTTTTATCTTTTTTGGTGGCACCTTCTTGGCAGATCGCCCTTGTGTTAAGTTGCCTTAATCCATCAAACTTAATTTAAAAAAACACAAAACAATAGCCTCATTATTGCATATAGCATACTGACACCAAGACAATGTAAACGAATCCCATTAAATTATTTATATGAAATAAAGGTTATTGAAGCAATTCATGAAAGGAAAAATATTTCCCCCAAAAATTATTTAATTGATATTATTATTTGTTTATATATACAGTACAGTATAAAATGTCGTATTTGGTAGCTGAATTTTTTGCTGGTTACTTCCATGTGGAGATAGTTACTTAGTTAAAATTACATCTTCAGGAACCTAATCTCAAGTTATGACCCTAGGCATAAGGAAATAGTACGATAGATTTATAATTAGGTTATAAAATCGGAGGTATTGTCTGGCTTATATTTAAACTTTTTGTTTTTTCTCTAGTAATTTCTTTATTTTTTAAATTCAAGTCTGGAATTTTTTTAATATAAGCTAGTTTTATTATGGGAGATGTTTTTTGTGGTTACCTATCGATGAGATAAAGTAATGAGGATCTTGTACAAAACAAGCATTTGTTCACCTTATTCTGAAAACAATCGATGAAGTTACAAAGCAAAATGTAAAATATTTTAATTAATTAGCTCATTATTTAAAAAAAAGGTTAGCATGCAAGTTGAATGAAAACAATGGATGTTGCAATTACATCGTAGATACAAATCGTCTAAGAGAAATCTTCTTTAATAATTTAATATAATTGATACAGCTTGTAATATAATAAAAATATTTTAATATTTCTATTAAAATATGTTTATTTTATTAATGAAATTGAATTGGGTCTGAAATTTTTATCTTGGATATGCAAGCTTTGAATAAATCATTAAATATCGACATAATAGTTGTAAATATATAAGTTATATATAGAAAAATCGTTTAAATTATGTTAAAAGTGATTGAAAAATATAAATTAATTTGTATTAAATTAATTGGAGAACTCGAAATTGGGTTTTTAAAATAAGTATTAATTCAAAATAAAAGTGTGATAATTTTTAAATAAGACTGTAACACACATGCCTACTCTGTGTACAAAAAAAATGTTTATTTTGACTTTAACGCTTGTTTTTTGAAAATTACATTTAATTTTGAAAGTATT